TTCAGAGGGAACCTCATACCTATAGGTTGCAGCTTTCTACTTGATCACATCACACAGCGCTGATCCGTTCTCTACACATATTATTTGCTACCTGAGTGCTTTCAAACTGAGGTGTGGTACATTACTCGGGGTGGGGGTGAATTGTTGTAGATTTGGCTATTTGTACACATGGTTAGTTGTACACGGTGGGACTTAAGAACAATACAATGTGTGAAATTTGCAGGAGGTAATCTCCTGGTGTTTCAGGTGCGTGGATGAAATGGTGAGGAATCTCAGCCAGAGTTGCCAGGTGTCACAATAGAGTGTGTATTTATGAAGTAGGGAGTATCTAATCTCTTCTAAGATTCTTATGGACTCTACCTCTTAAAGCCATTCTCTTATAGACGGAGTACTAATGTTTTTCCAGAGTAATTAGTAGGTTGGCTGCCGTTATTAAATGGTTAAGTAGGAGTGGTTTCGTTTATGGCAGATTGATTACATGTATTAGGAATAGCATTGACTCTGGGGTAAAAAGGAGATTAAAGTAATTTGTATCAGGGCATGTATACATTTCCAGTATGCCTAAATGCTTGGGCATGATCAGCATATGTTAGTGAGCCTGTGGCTTGAGAACATCTCCAGCAGGCATCTGAGGCTGGGGGGAAGAAACAGTGGATGCGTGCCAGAAAGTAGGGACATTCGTATCCGTAGTGACTTTTGTGAATGCAAATAGAGGATTTGTGGATATAGTGTAAGATAAATCTCCATTCTTCTGGAGATAAGCTAATTCTATAGGGTCCAGTGAAGTTCGGGAGATTGTTGTTGTGCTCCTTTTGGAGTATGTTATAGAGGTGGATAGGTGTTTGATCTTGATATTGGTATTGTGTGCCTGGCTCCCAGTGAGGAGCTCTGGGGTGGTGTGCAGCAAATGGGTCAGCTATGCATGTTGGAAAGTAAGTACGGTCAATGGGGTTTCCCCCTGTAGTAGGGCAGATAATGGTTTTATACCATGCGATTCTGTAATGCTGCCCAGGTTGAGGTAGGGTGTGTTGTGAAGGACCACGTTTGCGCTAGGTGACATTCCTGGTATAAATGATGGGTTGAGCATCAAGGAATATAGGGGAGAGAGGTGTTGAGAAATGTCAGGCAACTTCATGATAATAGACCATAATTTTAATGTGTATGATGATCGAGTGTTTGGAATGGATAGGCAGAACGTAAGGGTGGCCTGTTTTGTGCGAGGGAATTGTGTTTAATGGGATTTAGATACAGGATTGCTTCAGCACCTCCCATTGTTTAGGGTTTGGAAGTGTGGTCCACTTGTAAATCCTTGTTAGAAAAAAGATATTAGGGACATAGCCAGCTGACATATCCAAGCAGCAAGATCTTTAGAAATGGGCAGTAATAGAGTTGGTAAGTTCAGCTCATATAGCTGAGATGAGTCATGTGGGAGTTTGACCCATAGATACATAATTGCCGAGGTTGCCTTGGGTGTCGTGATTGAGGTTTAACGGTAGGATTTCGCTTTTAGTGACGTTTACAATGAAATGTGATATAGCATTGTATTGTGAAATTTCATTAATTTGGTGGGGCATGGAGGTCAACGGGTCTGTGAGTGTAAAGAAGAGGTCATCTGCAAAGGCGCAATTTTATAATCAGCGTCCTTAACTTGAAGGCCTTGAATATGCAGGTGATCTCTGATCCCCTGAAGGAATGGCTCCATTATTAGAATGAAAAGTAGTGGGGACAAAGGTCACCCTGTCTCGTGCCATTTCTAATGTGGACTGGTTTGGACAGTTGTCCATCTATTTGAATTCGGCACTAGGGGTTGACTAAATTGCTGACAACCATTTCAGCTAACTGCAGCCAAAACACATAAAATTATGGGTTTCGAAGAGGAGGGACCAGGCCACCCTGTCAAATGCTTTTTCAGTGTCAGTCAAAAATAATGGACGTTGGTATGTTGGGAGAGGTGAATAAATTTAATAATTTGATAGTGTTAGTTTTAGCTTCCCTGTCTCGGATGAATCCAGATTGATCAGGGTGGACTAGTCTCTGCAGCAACGACGTAAGTGATTGGCTAAGATTTTAGTAAAGACTTAAGTCAATATTGATAAGAGAGATGGGGCAGTAACTTCCGCAGCTTGTTGGGTCTTTCCCTGGTTTGAGGATCAATATGATGTAGGCCTCCAGTGCGAAGTTAGGTACGGTCGTGGAGTTGGTGACCAAATTGAATGCATCTAGGAAAGGCTTAGATAGGGTTTAGGCTTAGTCCAGGCTAGGACTTTTGCCTGTGGATAAATGTTGGGGAGAATGGTTTGTTTCAACTTGGTCTGGAAAATTTCTAAAAAATTTTTTCCTTGTTGGGAGGTTCATCTCTAAGGTTAGAGAAGTTAGAGTAAAATGATCAAGATGGAGGGGAGACTGTTCACCTGAGGGTTTTGTAATTTTGGCTATGGAAGAGTTTTGGCTTTGCTGTTGCAAGGCCTTGGCCAATATTCTACTGCATTTGCCTCCCAGCATATTAAATCTGGATTTAGTGAGAAGGAGTTTGCGTTTGGTTTTGGCATTGAGTGTCATTTGTAATTACCTTTTTTCAAGTCTACATTTGTATGTATCAAGGGAATGTGTGTATTTCTGATTATCTTCAAGGGCTCTAATATCATGTATAACGAAGGTGATTTTAGCCTTGCGTTGTTTTTTTGCTTTGGAGGCCAAACCTATTAGGATCCCTATTATGACATATTTATGTGCCTACCATGCTACAGTGGGGAGAGTGTTAAGAGTACTGTAACGGACCATTTTGCACACAAGCGGTAAAAACCGTTTAGGCGATCGTCCCCTTTCCAGAGATGCAGGCACAGCTATTGTAGAACACCAAACTCACAAACCGCCAATAAGGGAATGCTCCAAACTCCCGAACGGCATCCAATATAACACTCCAAACACACGAACTGGAACCATACGAATCGCTGCTAGCAGACGAATAGGAAAAGCATCCAAGCGGCTTACACTCCTAGCAATCAGTCTCTATCAGCGTTCAGTAAATCCCCCCAAAGACGAGACAAGGCTCCGTGTTGAGGGTCAAGCAGTGGTCTGTTTAATGAGGGCTACCTGCCCAGTATTTATGCAGGTCTCCCACCTGGTGGACACTCCCCTAGGGGACCAAATGGGAGACTGTGACAAAAGACAGACAAGTAGACAAATAGGACACACAGTCACATTATATTCCCACAATACATCCTGGTTTCCTCCCCTCTGCCCTGGAGATAATTGAGAAGTATTTCAATTATCTCCCAAGACAAAGGCAAATCGCCATTATGCACGTGGGGATACTAAAACAGGAATTACTATTAAAATACACTATGTAAGACACATTACATTAAAACTATACATTTAACATGTCCCCAGATAGCTCAGGTCTGAGCGCACATTATTAAGCAAATGGCGCTCAGACCACACGAATACAGTGTAATCACCAAGGAGCCAAAGTCTTTACACAGTCAGTTTCTCATGCGAATGGGCTCCATGGGATTCCTATCTGGGGTATAACATATTCAAGTAAATCTACCGAACACCGGGCCGTTCGTGCACTTTCACCGAACAAGGAGGGAGGTCGGCGGCTTCAGCGGTGTTCGCGCAAAACTGTGTCCGATTTCAGTTCCATGAATTAAGCCTTGAACACCGCTGTGCGTTCGCATGTTTAAAATGGCCGCGACCTCGTGTTCGTGATACGAATGGTGGCCACCCAGCATTCGTCAATTAAGCTGCGGTTAACCGCAGCTTCAGGAAGGCTAATTGCCGGCACACTCCAGCTCCCAGGTGGTCCAGTCATTCGTGCGGTTTTTCGGTAGATTGAATCTACCGAACACCAGGCAGAAAAGCACAAATAAGTCTTTTCTGCAGGGAAAAATATGTCTTTTAACATGGGGCCATAGTCCAAAGGCAGCAGGCGAGCAACCAGGCTTCTCCAATGCAATGAGGCGAGATTGCTCTCGTCACAAGTACCACTGTGGTTGAAGTAGTCTGTAAGTGATTCTTGAACACTGGAAACTATATTAGGGTCATTCAATAGCATGTCACTCAATTTCCATTGAAAGGACTTGGTAGGGACGGAAGGGATGGTCATGACAAGAAACGGATGCATGGTCCAACCATGTGATCCAGAAACTGATGGTGCAGAGCTTTTCCAGGCAAGAGTAATTGCCTGTTGCAGGAGAATAGTTTGAGTAATCTCTGGCGGTATCGAACAGTTGTGCTTGGTCTAGAAGTGTATTTAATCGCTTTCTTGTGGTGACATGGTATGTGGTCTTGGGTAAAGAGGTATCGAGTGTGGAGTCAAGAGTGGTATTAAGGTCGCCCCTAAAATTAAGATTCCTTCTGCAAATTTCTCAACTGAATGAAGACGTCTATACTGTTTTCTGTTCGACAGATAGACATTTGCAATCGTAACCATAGTGTGGCATATGAGGCCCTTGACCATCACCAGTCTGCCTACTGCATCAGACTCATGTGAAGGGTAGTTGGGCTGCTAGCAGTATGGCTAAGCCTTGTGCCTTTTCCCTTTGCAAAGTAGTTAAAGTAGCCATGTCAAAATTCTCGATTGCGTAGTGAAGGAGTTGAGTCTCCTTGGAATGTGTCTCTTGTAGGAAAGATGCATCTGCTCTTAGTTTGTGTAGGTCTGACAAAGTCATTGATCATTTCTCTGGAGTGTTGAGTCCCCATGTGTTTAAGGCGATTACTCGATAAGGTAGTCATAATGAAGGTTTTAGCAGTCCCACCTTCCCCCGGCTGACCCCCATGGCAGCAACACATATAGTTGGAGAGTATACAAACAAAATCAAAAACAAAAGCATAACAAAACTATATATAGTGTTACCTAAATGTAACAACATAGCATGGAGGTTTATCTGAATTTGTTTAGTAGGTATTCAAAAAAACGCTGGTGCCTTTCCCAGTGTGATAGAGGTTGCCCTCTAGGGAAGGTGTGTGGCACCGCTAGGTGAGTCACTGAGACCCATGTTGGGGGGTGTGGGAGAGGAGATGGCATAACCTAGATTTAAAGAAAGGGTCTGAAATCATAGCTTGTGAGGCTTATTTAGGCCTGTAGGGATCCCATTAAAGATGGCAATGGGACAGGGATGCTGAGGATTACAGACTGGGTGGGACTATAAGGTTGAGTCATCAAAGATTTTGGCTATGGGAGTTAGCAGGTTCTAAAGAATGAGTGACCCTAGAGAAATTCTATCCAGCGGCATACTATGGGGAAGTATTTTTACGGAATATTTCAGGTGGGAAGATAATGGGGGCTAATTGCCATAAAGAGATCTAAGCTCAAGGTCATGGCATATAGGTTATACCATGGTACCCACCCTGGAATTAGGAAAAGCCTATCAATTCTTATAAGTTTTAATGTTAATATTGCCATTGTCAGTGTTTGAGTAGAGTCCCAATAGGGCAGGTGTACAAATGTGCAGGGAGATGTTATATAGGTACCTGTTGGTTACTAACGGGATGAGTAGATACGGGGAAGTCGGGCCTTGAACCTGGTACTGGTGAAACATTGGCACTAAAGATATATATACACATACGACCTGGAAGCTAGTCAAAGGGAAATAGCGTAAGTCCTTTGCGGGTCAATGGCTGTGTGAAGTTCTTTCAAATATTATAGTTCAACTAGTTATGTCCCGTCGCTGAAATGTATCCTTTGTATCAAAATACACTTAAGATCTTGTCCCAATCCTCAGCGTAGAGTAGGTTGTAGACTGTTCCATTTCTTGCAGGAGTATTCCTTCTGTCCATTCACAGAGTCCAATAGATCCAGCGTGCATTTTTTGAGTATTGCTTGTGGAAGTAGCGGAGTGGTGTAGAGTTTTATGGGTTCATATCAGTCTTCTTTATGCACAGGTGCTAGGTCCAAAGCACGGAGGAAGGGGGTGACATCCTTGACTGAGGAAATGATGTGAGCGGAACCTTTGTGGGAGACAATGAGGGAGAAGGGGATCACCGGTAGCACAGGTTTCTAGTATGGAGGTGGTTGGTGATCTACTTCAGTGCCCTCCTGGCTTGGAGAATCATGAAAAGACATCTGGATACATCTGTATGGTAAAGGCAGTTAGAATAGGCAGTTAGAATAGGCACAAGGTGCAAAGGATATCTTCTTTAGTGGAGAAATAATGCAACCTGCAAGTGACATCTCTCAGGCTTTCCATAGGAGAGCCTCGTGTTTTAAGGGCTCTGTGGGCTAGGTCAAATCTTATGGGGTTGTAGGCGGGTTTCCCTAGAATCAGGTTGAAAGGGTGTAACAGATCACCTGGCACCCCAGAACCGCCGAGCTTGATTGGGGTCTTGCCGTCTCCTACCCACCCTGGACCTACGACAAGTCTCCAGGTTCCAGTGGGTGAATCCCTCTTTCCCCAGAGAGTGAAGCAGGACAGGAACAGGAACAAGCTCTTACAAAAGCTTAATCACTATTCAAGGGAGTATGAAGAGCATAGCAATCCCTTGTAGCAGATTCCCCCAATAAGAGACAGGACTCTAAATTGAGGGTGAAGTAGAACTGGTTTAATGAGCACAAAGGCATTTCTTATATACAGTTTTCCCCACAAGGTTACCACCCACATGGACCTTGTGGAGCACAAGACACAAAGTCACAACAGCCAATCAAAACAGTATTGTACAGTTAGACACTCCCAGCTAATGTACACAAACCCACCCCTCTGCCTGTGATACAATTAACAAAGACAATTGACTAACTCAATTACCATAGGCAGAAATCCAGTTTTACCCAAAGTCCCGAAACACCTCAAAACAACAATATATCCCCACAAGTCCTACATCCTTGGATAGCCCTGATCTGGTTGAACAACATATCCATAAATCGCCCAGATCAGAGCAGGGGTTCAAAAGTACTGTTTCTGCCTCTTTTAACTGGAACAGATTCAAACACATGGTGGCGGCCATCTTAAATTGTCCAGCGGTGTTTTGTTGTCGAGTGTATGCACTAAGAAGAGCCAGGGGACCATGAAGGATTTCTTAAAGTGATCTTCAGCCAATAGAGTGCCGACCAAAATGCTGACGCGCAGAAATAGGGGGAGTAGGTCCCAGCGGGAAGATTTTTTGATCATAGAAGACAGAGCCAGGGAGGCGGAGCCTGACCGCGAACGAAGATGGACGCTTAGTCCGGCGGCTCTCTCTCCCCCGTGACCACAATCCGCCACCATCAGCTACCACGGCCGTGACATACCCGGCGAAACCGGCGACCCAGCCCTCACAGACCCGGGCACTCTCTCCCCCATGCGAGGAGGGAAGAAAAAGAAGGAGAAAACCCCCTCAGTGGCATCCATATTCCGCCCGCAGAGCGCGCCAAATCCGCCATCTTGCCGCTCAGACATGGAGGGCTCTGACAAGGAAACTGCACAAAACAGGTACCCGACCACAGCAGACTCCCCCTAACTAAAAGGGACCTACAAAACCTACTGCAGGAAGCCACTGCAGAAATTAAGGCACACACAAAGGCTGAACTGAACCGCCAAATTCAGTCTCTTAAAGCTGACCTAGAGGCCCTGTCACACCGCACAGACCATGCAGAGGCCAAACTCACTAAACTGGCTGATACCACCTCCTCCCACTCCCAAGATATCACCTACCTACATGGCAAATTGGCAGCACTTGAAGAAGAGATAGAAGACCTTAATAATAGGTCCAGAAGGAATAATATCAGGGTGAGGGGATTGCCAGAAACGGTAACTAATGATCAGCTACAGGCCTCCCTCACCGACCTATTTAACACACTACTACCAGAGGCCACACAGCAAGACCTCGCAATGGACAGAGCACACAGGGCGCTTAGACCTCTGGCGCTGAACCCAGACACCCCTAGGGATGTAATAGTGCGGATGCACCGTTTCCCCATTAAGGAGCAACTGGTCCGACAAGCCAGACAAAATCCCCCAACTTTCCAACAGCAGACCATAGCCCTTTATCAGGACCTGGCGCCTTCGACTCTCAAGAAAAGGAGAGATCTGCGGCAATTGACGAACACCCTCAGCCACCACGGCATACGATACATGTGGGGGCACCCCTTCAAGCTGCTGGTCCGCAGAGAAAACCAGACACACATACTATCGAATGCGGCGGAGATGACCCCCTTCGCAGAGTCCCTAGGCCTCACGCTTCTACCTCTACAACTCCCAGAGGGAGACGCCAGGAATCCATCAGCCAGGAATCCATCAGCCACTCACCTCGACGCACACCGAGAAAAAGAGCACCCCCAAGACCACAAGACGGCAGCCCACAGCGGCACTAAGATCCTGTCAAGATTCCCGCAGAGACTCTCACTCCCAGGACACTTTTACCGCCATTACACTATATGGCCCTCGCTCATATCCTTTTTTACTACTGTGCTCTTTTAATATGCTTTCTGTTGTGTTTTTTGCATCTTGAACCCCCCTGTCTTATCCTGTTTGACAAACCTGAGGCATGAGGGGGGGGGGGGGGGCAGAAAAGGGGGAAAAGAGAAGGGACAGAGAAAAAAAAAAAGGAAAAGCGGAGGAAGGAGATTGGGAAAGGGACGTAGATGACTCCCCCAGGCCTACGTTTAACCAGGGTACCTAACCCACCCCGGATCGTCTTTACATCTTCAATAACATATTTTAAAACAACAACCAAAGAAGAAATAGGAAAGGGGGGAAGAGAAAAGGGAATAGGGGGGAAAGAAAAGAGGAAAGAGAGAAGGGGAGGGAAGGGAAAGAAAAGGGAGAAGGGAAAAAGGGAAGAAAAGAAAAGGGAAAGGAAAAGGGAAAAGGGAAAGGGGGGGGAAAAAAAAGAAAAAGAAAGGGAAAAGAGAAAGGCTTATACCTCAAAGAGGCACGGTGGCATAGACACAACAGGAGTGGAATAGACGAGGCCGTAGGGGGAGGGCCAAGGGGAGGGGGATAGCGACAAGCCACGACCCTAGCAGTCACCACGTGAGGGAGAGGGAGCTTTTTAGCAACACGGTCCATAAAGGGCCCTATAGGGAAACAGAAGACGAGACCCCCCGAGACTTGCTAAGGAGACTCCGCACCCCCCCGGGGTCCCTCCCCCCGACGATGACAGCATGGAGGACGACAGGCCCCACCTTGGTCCACGAACGATGCCCGCCCACCCCCCAGACAAACACCCCCTCCCGCAAGGACACAATGAAAGATAAGGACTATTAGACTGCACCTGAGGAGACAGGGGAGCACTTCCCACCTTTTGAGAGACACTCTGCAAATCGCTTCAAATAGCCTAAACATGATAAATTTTCTCCTTTTTTCGTTTGTATATAGTTTTGAACTCGCCCAGACGGACACTCCACAAGCCCTCGACAGAGAGCCAAGGTACATCAGACAACATTCCAGGTACACAAGGTAACATCACGGGGGAGGAGAGAAGTGGACGTGACCATCCCTCCTCTTCTCTTCTCACCCCTCACACACACCACACGATACTCACCCCCAGAAGGGTGAATCAAATCACATCCTCAACCCCCACATTACCCCCCCGCCCACCAAGCTTGGCACGCACATCGTAAGACCAAGCCCTTTTAGTACCCTCCCCCCACACCCCTCCCTGACCCCCCCCCGACCCCGCACGCCGAGAGCAAAAGCCACAGCGATACAATGCCAACTGCCACACTAACCTGTGTCTCGATTAACTGCAAGGGCCTGAACAGCCCGAACAAACGGCATCGAGTCCTTAGATGGGCCACCAGAACTAAGGCAGACGTCCTCCTCCTGCAGGAGACGCACTTTGAGCAAAGCAGGCCCTTCCCACTACGTAACAGACACTACACAGAGTGCCATCAGGCAAACTCACCCCAAGGAAAGCATAACGGGATGGCCATCCTCATTCGCAAAACCTGCCCCATACAATTCTCCAACGCAGCCTCAGACCCCCAAGGGTGGTTCCTCACTGTAACGGGCCACCTAGGCCCAAATAAATACGCAATCATATCGGTATACGCCCCAACGGCACCACACGCACACTTCTGGACAGCCCTACAAGCCCACCTGGCACTATTCCCCGCCCATCACAAGGTGGTGGGGGGCGACTTTAACGCGGTGCTGTCACCGTCCAATGACAGACGCAGAACTCAAAACCGGGGACTGCCACCTCCACCAGAGGCAAAAACAGACAAATTACTCAACTCTTTCTTAACAAGGACAAATCTAGTAGACATGTGGAGAACACAACATCCACAAACATTGGACTACACGTTCTTTTCCCATCCACACAAGTCCTACTCACGTATAGACATGTTCCTGACCTCCCCATCCCTAATGCAACACACAGATAGGACAGAGATAGGACAAATCACGTGGTCAGACCACGCGGACATTACCATAACTATACAGCTTCCAAATACGACCAAACAATGGGCTTGGCGTCTAAACCCTACGCTACTCCACATTCCACACATCAAAAACACAATCGACGAAGCAATAAAAGACTTCTTTACAAATAATACAGGCTCGGTAACCTCAGCAGGCACATTATGGGCAGCACATAAAGCAGTCATTAGAGGCAGCCTCATCTCAGCGGCCTCGGCCCACAAAAAGGAGAAACTATCCAGACTACACCAACACCTCACCGCACTCCGCAAGACGGAACACGCGCATAAACAAAACCCCACCCCCGTCTTACAACAACAGATACAGGTGCACAAACAAGCGATCCCGGAGTTCATGGCCCAAGACTCGAAAAAAGCACTGCTCTGGACAAGGCAGATGTTTTATGAGAAATCTAACAAAGCAGACTCACTCCTAGCCAACAGACTTAAAAAGAAAAGACAACCGAACCGAATAACCTCGATTAACACACCGGACGGTCAAACACAAAACCTCCCTGAACAGATAGCAGAAACCTTTACTCAATTTTATACCTCCCTTTATGACCATGACCCCCAATCTCGACACAACGCACAAGACACAGAGGTAGCCATAACACGATACTTACAAAGCATAACTCTACCGCAACTCACTGACGAAGCACGAGAGTCATTAGCAGCAGAAGTTACGATCGAGGAGGTGGCAGAGACGATTAAGGCTCTACAACCTAACAAATGCCCAGGCCCCGACGGCTACTCGGGGTTATATTACAAAACATTCTCTGCAACCTTACTCCCACATCTTAGCGAGCTATACACATCGATCCTCAAAGGAGAACTGCTCCCAGCGGAAATGCTCCAAGCTAATATTAGCCTAATACCAAAACCGAATAAATCCTTACAAGAACCGGGACACTACCGTCCCATCTCACTCCTAAATGTAGACATTAAATTATTTACCAAGCTTATTGCGAACAGACTTAAACATTTTCTCCCGAAACTGATCCACCCAGACCAAGTGGGCTTCATTCCCAATAGACAAGCCTACGACAACACAAGACGTACCTATGACCTAATCTGGACGGCCAACCACAGACGGACTCCGATGCTACTACTATCCCTAGACGCCAAAAAGGCATTTGACAGGATCCTCTGGCCATATTTATTTGCGGTCCTGACGAGGTTCGGCTTCCCCAGGGCCCTCTTAGAAGCAATTCGCACCCTCTACACCAACCCGACAGCACGACTACTAATACCAAATGCTCGCCAAACCCCGTTCCACATACGAAACGGCACCCAGCAGGGGTGCCCCCTGTCCCCCCTCCTCTTTGCCCTCTCCCTCGAACCCCTCTTGCAACAGATCCGCAATACACCTGCCATACGAGGCATAAAAATAAGAAGGGAGGAATACAAAGTGGCAGCATATGCTGACGACTTGCTTCTAACCCTGACTGACCCAGGGACATCCCTACCCCCACTGTTAGACTTACTAGAGGCATACGCAAAAATCTCAGGATACAAACTCAACATAGAGAAAACTGAAGCCCTAACAATCCAAACCCCATCTCACACACGAACACTACTGCAACAAAACTACCCGTTTCGCTTCCAAATGCAAAGTATTCATTATCTAGGAACAGAGATACCGGCAGACCTACATTCTACATACAGACTAAACTATCCCCCATTAATCGACCAGGCCCTGAGAGACCTGCAAACCTGGCAAAAATTATCCATCTCATGGCTTGGGAGGCTGGCAGCGATTAAAATGAACTTACTGCCACGTTTTCTCTATCTCTTCCAGACCCTCCCCATCCCACTCTCACGAGCAGACTTCAAAAATCTCCAAATGCACATTGATAAATTTATTTGGGCGGGGAAAAGAGCTAGAATAAAACGAATTACCCTGTATATTCCACACAAAAAAGGGGGACTAGGCCTGCCAAATTTCTGGGACTATCACCAAGCATCCCAACTTGCACAAATCCAAACCATGCACGCCCCCCCAGGGGTCAAGCGCTGGGTGGACCTGGAACACGACCTATTCGGACGAGACCTGCCAACACTCTACCTATGGATACCGAAAACACACAGACCACAACAGCCCAACACGACACCAGCCCTCACGACAGCCATCCACATTTGAAACAGGGTGACCGACAAATACAACCTCATAAATACACCCTCACCCCTTATGCCCGTTCTGAGGAACCCTCAATTCACCCCGGGAATGACGCCCCAACATTTCATCAGGTACGAGGACAATGACCTTACGAGAATCTGTCATTTTTATAGGAACGACTGCCTTATTCCCTTCCCAGAATTGCCAAACGCCACACCGTATAACACGTTTGACCACTTTAGATACCTCCAACTCCGAAGCTTCCTGTCAACCCCTACCATAGCCGCTGCGGCGGTGTTGAAACCCACTGCATTCGAAAGGGGCTGCCTGAACAACCCAATACACAAGGGCCAAATCTCCAACCTATATAACCTCATAACGCTTAAAGCCCCACCTGACGCCCTCTCCTACGTAAAGGCCTGGGAAAGGGATCTTGGTCCCCCGGGGGACCCCTCGGATTGGGCTGACATATGGGAAGCAACAGCGACAGTGACTATCTCTGTTAACCACAGAGAGCAGGCGTATAAGACCCTGCTTCGGTGGTACCTCACCCCCCTGAGACTCAAACAAATGAAACGCACAGACTCGGACAGATGCTGGAAGGCATGTGGTGAAAAGGGAACATACATTCACGTGTGGTGGCATTGTCAACACTTAACTCAAATATGGAAAGAGATGGCCGCTGCCATCTCGAGAGCATTACAAACGGACATCCCCCTAGACCCATGGACCTGGCTGCTGTCCAGGCCCCTAGAAAATCTGACCCGAGCACAAAACAAACTAGTAGCAAAGGTGGCCTTAGCAACACGTAGAACTATAGCCACCCACTGGGGCAGCCCAGAAATCCCAACAGCCTCGGAGGCCCAGAGAAAGATTAAAGAGGCCATGGAGATGGACGAACTGTCCGCACTAATACACGAGAACACTAGATCTTTCCATAAGATCTGGGACCCCTGGTTGGCATTGTAAGACACCGCAAGCGGGGAAGGGGGGGAGAGAGAACTGCCCCCCCTCTTTACCACATCCCACCCCTACCCCACACCCACCCACACCACACATCAAAACACCACAACCAACAGAAAACAATTACACAAACTTGCAAACATCACGACTACAAGCAACCACCTGAACTAACTCAGGTGAACTCCACAAGCTCAACCACACACACATCAAAATGATATTACGACACAAGGACACTCTCCAAGTTCTAAACCCCTAAACCCCCGACCCCAGAGGCACCACCTCACCCCCAGAGGACAGAGAGAGCGCAACGCAACAGACAGAGTACGACAACGACACCTCACAAGGCCCATGAACTAGGCGAAGGCCAGGTTTGAGCCTCACAGCGCATCACCAAAACCCATCGCCTAGAGCCCATTCCCTAAACTCAGGGCAAACGGTGGTTACGCCTAACAGAGGGGACACCCCCATCCATCTTACCCACCCGACCCTTCCAGACCCAGGGCAACGGGAGTTACATGTTGGACAACTGAAACAATGAATGTAAACAGGGATATAGTAATGAGTACAATTGTAACCAATATAAATGTAATGTGTTGCACCCCTTTTTTCCTTTCTGTACCCCGTTATGTTACAAGAAAAAAAAATAACTCTTCTTTTGAAGACTCAAAAATAAAGAATTTATAAAAAAAAAGAAGCCAGAGCTTTAGGCCCAGACCTCTGTCTGAGCCCAGGCCGTAGGTAACTGCCTATGCCACCTTATGGGTAATCCTGCTCTGACAGTGGGCTGTAGTGCTTATGATGCTTGGAGAAACCTTTTAAGAAGAGATTTGCTTGAGCACACATGGACTAGTTACAGGGAATGAGCTACTAATTATAACGTGGTCTGGTTATCATAAGTAACCCCCTCTGACTCAAGCAGGAATAACCTTGACAGACACATATAGTGTTATTAACTAATTTCTAATTTGGCTTCTGATTTACAAAACTATTTGAAATTTGGAGATATTCAGTAATAGCAGAGTCATACACTTGGTAAACTGCTGCACACAGCCCGGTTCACAAAGATGGTCCTATTGCAAAACTGGAGCATATATCTCAAATTTAATAGGTATGAAAAGGGCAGTTGTAAGGGCAGGTTCTTGAAAGGACATACATTAAAGGGACAAGTTGCATAAAAAAAGGGGGGGGGGGGGTTAGTCTGATGCGCATGCATACCAGGGTGACCAGCAGCTCCATTGTCCAACACCCCCTGACATGGAGAGAGTGGTGCCCAAATTTTGCATTGACCCACTGAATCCTACACGAAAGTATGTTGGGGCAGCCCTGTCCCACCCTATCTATCTGTAGTAACTTGTTGCATGGTGAAAAATTATCTACAGAAACTAAAAAGAGCTACAATTACCTTTTTGTTAACTTGTTTAGTGTCCTCAAAAGCGATACACTAGAGGCAAAGAGACAGATTAGATATGGATCCTAAATCAGGGCAGTCTGAAATCACGGTCAAATATGGATCCAGGGATCAGAACTGTCCTTGTTTAAACTGTTAGGGGAGGTATGCTTACATGTACCTGAGATGTGAATCCAAACCAATCCTGAACTCCCCATTACCTTAGACATTCCAAATTCTCCAATTCACCACATTTCACAGTTTAGTAAATACACCGCTGCTTTTACAGACCCAGTGCTGACACAGCAGTAAATGGCCCAGTAAAGCATGTGTGTTGCTTATCTCTTTGCCAACTATTTAAGAGGTGTGTTGGACCCTCCCCCTTGCCTGACTCCTTAGTTGTATAATCAGCACATGTTTACTGATAGAAAATCTAGGTAGAAATTGTCAAGCTTTGCATTTTTTCCCCAAGTGCATGACACTTTCCATATTTCTCTCATCAGCAGGGGGGCTTGTCCTAGTGTCAGCCGTCCTGGGCTCTCTGATTGGTGGACAGGGCGATAATGTAGGGGCGTGGAGAGCCTGCAAAATCTCCGGTACAAAGCAATCCCGCAGGTGGCAGGCACACTGCAACTTTGCTTCACAGTCCTGGGATACAGAGCGCAGAGCACACTGCTCATCACACTGCAAGCAGCATCCTCTACTACCTAACACCAGGGACAGGGGCTTTTTTATACAATACAGACTGATAATAATAGATATTTAATATCATTAAACTAGTTTCAGAGAAGGGGGTGGAAAGTTGCAGACACCATGCAGAATTGTGCTAAGTCTTGGGGAGTCCTGTGCAGGTCAGTCAGGTTACAGAGCAGGGCTGTGGGGTGCAGCAGGAGAGCTGTGTGCGGTACAGCACAGAACATTAGATGGAACAGCACCAGGGCTGCAGCAGGGGCCCCTGCCTCCCCCAGGCAGATAGAGCTCATCTTCCCCAGGCATGACGACTTCTCAGAGAGACACATAGGACCAGGGGACAAGGAAAAAACAGAAATGCTACAAACTATAGGAGTGGAGGTAAGTGTGGTAAACCCTTCACTGTGCAAGGCACCACTGATTGGAATGCAGTTTCCATGGATAGTTTATGTATATACTCCTTTTTGGATGGCTGTATATATGTTCTATAGATTCTATTTGATGTGTAAGCACCATTCTTGGAAGTGTTCATAAATTCCATATAGAACAGTCAATATTTTTATTAAAAAAAAACTGTAATCATGCAAGTGTAATAGAACCTGGATCTCCACTTTAATTATAATGGGATCTATAGAAAAAATGTTTCATAAAACTGACCGCTTCATATAGGTTTTTTTTTGGGGGGGGGGGGGGGAGTGCGGGGTTTAACCTGTTTATATTGTACTGCTTGTTAAGTGAGCTGGATGTGGAAGCGGTCAGTTAAGAAACTTTTACATAGATAAGCTGCCTATTATGGCTATTGGTGTGCATTTACGTTTGTAGATGGGTTGTTTTACCTGTTTGTGAATTAGCTTACTTCCCTGGGTGTGTGCCTGACAATACCTCTGTAGGGCGCCATTCGATTAACAGCCCCCAGCACACTCGGAGTATGCATTCTTCACACTATTGGTGGTAATTTTGGGAGATTATCCCCTGGAAATCGTTTCCTGTTGCAAACCTTTCAATGCTGAAACATTTAAAACAGGCTTTAAATTCCTGCATTAAAGTGCAAGTGATAAATCTCAGTTTAAGAAAATAATTAAGATTTCCACCTTCTTCAGGAATTTTGAGATTAAAGCAGATTTATCTCCTAGGTGTATTTCTTTTGTGTGTTTTTATTTTATGTGTAGGGGGCAGGAGCTAATGACTTGACCTGATCCCCCTTTGTTTCCAGAGTCTGTTAATGCTGCATTCTTTTGCTTGCTATTAAATAATAAAAAGCATTAATAATTAGCTAACATCTTCCCAGAAGATATGTGCTCAGCGACTGTTCCAGGAATGTTGATTTTCATAAGTTTGTACACAGCCAGACACATCCATCTAGAGGTTTTTTTTTAATGTTTTCTTTTAATGAAGATACTAGCAACATCTCCATAATTCCCTACAGTACCCTAACATTTTTGTTCATCTTTCCCTCAACAGAGCATTGATGACCTGATTGATAAGACAGTGCCTGCTAGCATTCGACTCTCAAGACCCTTGAAGATGGACGATCAAGTTTGTAAGTTTCTAAAATCTGTCTCCCACTCGAAGAAATAATGTGCCCATCTGTATGGACACTCCTCTTATTTTTGGACCATTTTTAAATATTTCCAATAATATGAGAATAGTCAAACTCATGCAGAATTTACACAAAGTTCAAATGTACCTGTCATGCAAAAATTACATGGTGTACTATGCATAAATAACTAAATATATTATTCTTTCACCATCACTTATTACGGCTATGCCGTTCCCAAACATCCGAAACTGCTGCTGTTTTATGTCAAAACCATGGCTTTTTAGGTTGTTGCACTTGCAGGTGGGAGAATGTTAGCACACACTGCACTTCCATCAGAAATCTTGGTACCCTTTAAAAATTTATAAAATAAACCTTGTTCTGTACCACACTCGGGGTTGGCCCAAGACATTGTGCTGCCTGGGTCCAAGGATGAAATGCTGCTCCCCTCACCAAATCCAGGCCCACATCCGTTTGTTATGTTATGTAGTGTGTATGTGTATAGTGTATGCAGAGCGTTTTTGTGTAGTTGATGCAGTACCAGTGCAAGCATTTTTGACTACTCCGACAAAGGTGGAATTTGCTGCCCCAACTCCCCCCAGCCCCTGTCTTCTTTTCCCTTACCCCCTGGTGTCATTGTACCTTTTCCCAGCTCCTCTGTGTGTGTCATTGTCCCCTTCTCAGCCCCTCGCTGGGTCGTTGTCCCTTTGTGTGCCCTTCTCTCTCTCTCTTTCCTTGTGCACCTACTTATCTCCCTTCATGTAGCTTGGTCGAGTGGACCACGGTAGAATATCTTCTTTATCCTCTACCTGTACTGACAGAAAGTTGTTCGGTGTTCTCACTGAGCACTTCTTGTCAGAGTGGGGAGAGGCTAAAGATCCTCTACCGCAGCACAGTCCGCTCAGTCACCCTGCATGAAGTGACTGGAAGGAGGGGGAGCAAGGTGCACTCTCCTCCTGTCCGTCACCCGGATCACTGATATTAGGACTCGCCAGTCTGGGAGGCTCAATGCGGCCGATTGTGTCAATTTATGGTAGCGCCAGCCAGGGCCGCCATCAAGGGGTGACAACCATTACAGTTGTCGGGGGCCCAGCCGTCCGGGCTCCATCTGTATCGGTACAACTGCCGCCAGTGGAGCTTCATCAGAGCCCACATGCTGATGTGGCCCAAGCATTTAGGGCCATCCAAAGGGCGGCGCCTGGTAAGTGTTGTGGCTATGTAATAACACGACTGGGCCCCTGTTAGAAAACATTTGTGGCCGCAAGTACTGCTGGAAGGAAGTGACGGCCAGTCACTTCCTTACAGCTCACTCCGCATGGGAGGGACGAGACCGTGAAGAGGGAGAGGCATCCTCCTGCAGAAGGTAAGAAATAGGAGGGTGGCTGAAAAAATAGCTATGTGTGTGTCTGTATGTATGTTAGTATGTATCTGTGTGTCACTATGTGTCTGTGTTTGTTTCAGTATGTATGCCTGTGTGTGTGTGTGTGTGTGTGTCAGTATGTGTATATCTTTGTGTGTGTCTGTGTCCTTTTTGTATCAGTGTCTGTGTGTATTTCTGGGTTGTTGTAATGGATGAAGTGTGATTGTGGTGTTGGATAGGGACTGTGGTGGTAAGCAGGTTTTTTAATATAAAATTGTGTTTAGTCACCCCTCACTGCCTCTTACATCTGGCAAGGGAGTGGGACACTAGATTCCCTGGTGGCACAAAATACCTGGAGTCTAAATCTCAGGTCCTCCCATCTTGCGAGCTGCGAGAGTGTTGTGAAGGGCTGCAATGGCAAACACACTCACCAAGGAAGAATCTAAAGCTGCTGGAGGTGCAAGATTAGACTATTGACACACACACACACACACACTACATCCCCCTCCCCCAATGACTCACTGGTGTGGAGCTAATCATCTGGCATATTGGAATATCTTCTTTGCTGGATCCCTTACCAGATTAGGGACACTATAGGCACCAAAAACACTTTAGCTTAATGAAGCTGTTTTGGTGTATGGATCATGTCCCTGTAGTCCCACTGCTCAATTTTCTGCCATTTAGGAGTTAAATCACATTTTCTTTTACACAGTCCTAGTCACAGCTCCCTGCATGTGACTTGCACAGCCTTCCTAAGCACTTCCTGTAAAGTGACATCTAACAGTTAAACTTTATTGTCAAACCAATATTAATACCGTACTCAGACACATACACTGTGTCAATAAAATGAAATATTGTAGTATTGCAAAATTTATTTTATTATTCAATTGATATCTTTAGAACAATCAAGAAGATTGCCAAGAAAGGCAAAACAAATGGTGCATAATGAGAGCTCAATATACAGGAAGAATCTATAATGGCTGTCTGAGCGACTTCCACTAGAGGTGTTAGTAGGCTGTAATGTAAACACTGTACATTAAAAAGCATGTTGAGACAGACCGTAGACATCAGAACAACTACATTAAGTTGTAGTTGTTCTGTTGACTATTATAGTGTCCCTTTTAATACATTCTTCCTTTCATGTTAATGGTGTAACATGTTTGCTATTTTATTTTAGAATTACTAAGATGTTGACAATATATCGTGTCTACTGAAAAGTGACACACAAAAAACCTTTTATAACATTACAATGAGAAACTTTGAATGCCTCAATGACTATATATATTGTAAAGAATTGACTGTTTTCAACTTTTAATAGTCCTCAACTTATAAACCCTCCTAACAGCTCCTATGTAAAGTCAGTCCAGTCTGTATTACTTTCTGTTGCATTACATTCGAACAGTGGGCTGGAATTTATTGTCTCTGCTAGTAATGATGTCACCACTGAAAGAATGACAGGATTCTGACTGTTACCAGAGCAACCCAAGAAACTTACGAAGGATTTGCATTTCGATTTTTGCGAGCGCATGAAAAAGTTTGTGTCCCTTACTGAAAAAACACATTCCTTTCTTACAGATTCACCTTCTTCTATCCATATGCAACAATCTTTCGAATTGTCACTAGAAGTGCAAAATAAAGCTCCCCCAACTGTTTAAACCAGTTTCTTTTGTTGTCAGGCGATTAGGATATGCAGTGAAAAAATAGCAAAATATATTGTAATGAGAAAAAGAATTAAACTCTTGACTCTGTGATCAGCATTGCTTAAGACTGGCTGCTTGCTGTGAATACATTACACTTCATTAGGCGTAAGAGTTTAGTGGTTAATCAAATTGTGCAGTCGAAACTGTTCATTATGTGTGATCAGAATGGAAACATAGCTTTGATCTCAGAGAGGACTTTTCTGAATAATGACAAACTAGTGACTTTCTGGATGAATAGGTCTAGATCTTTGTGTGCTAACTGAGCCTAATGCTTTATTTGGGGAGTTAAGGCTTTCAGTACTTTACTATACAGTCTATTTAAATGTGTTGCTGGCCATTACAACAATGATAACAACCCCTGGATGTTGGGCTATGGTAACATACCCAGGACGTACTTGGAAACCAGAGTATTTTGAATATACCTTTCCTGGTAAAATACTTTGTTAATCTTTGTGTGTGTGTGTGTGTGTGTGTGTGTGTAATAAATAAATAAATAAATAAAAAAAAATAAAAAAAAAAATATATATATATATATATATATACAGCAGAAAGCTGACTATTGTCTCTAAAAATGTTAGAAACCCTTGCTGTTGCTATAAAGCACATTACTATAGAATGTGGATTGAGTATCACTTTCTGGTTTGGTGTGTGTTCATTGTAAAACTTGCATAGCCTGGCATTCTGCCCCTTGTATCTTTATTTTGTTTTCTCAATATAGCAAAGTGGAATGCTATTCATTGAGGTCACTGTGCCCTAACTGGGTCATTCATAATTAGCAAGAGATTCTATTTTATTATTTTTATTTATTTATTATAATATATATATATATATATTTTTTTTATTTTTTTTTTTGGGAGGGGTTAAAACTAAGATTTTATGAATCGGAAATTAAAAAAAAAAAATAATCTGCATATCCATTTCTAGATAGACTGATCACATAAAATACTTTCTATTTTAATCCAGTTGTGTAATTCCCCTCACTTTCTGTGATAAAGCTGAGAAATGTTCCTTTTCACTCTTTATGTAATTGCACATTGCAGATTGAATGCAAACTTTAGACCCAGCCGCCTGTGTCAAGTTGACAGCCAGTTCGATCTGGCTAGTTCAGGATGACATCAGAATAACTGCAGCAGAATATTTTAGAAAGCCTTGGAATAACTGACGGGAAGGATTGCTTGGTGGAGGGGGGGAGGAGGAGTTTGCGAATCTCTTCCAGTGTGTTTGTTTTTACACGGACTTGCTAAATTTCTCCTTTATTTTCTATTTCCTTTATTTGGCCCATCTGTTTTTACATGGACTTTAACTCTGAGGAAAGATGCATTTATTTCTTATATTTTAGTATAACCTCAAGTATTGTGTGATAAGGCATTAAACGGATCATCTTGAAGTGTAAGAGTCTTATATAATTAGCACCAGTTCTATTGAGCAGATTAGAGTTCTGCTAGCGTTCTTGGTAGGCTCTTAAAGAACAAATGGTTTATCTGTTTCCTATATTTACACATGCATAGACATTACTTTAAATGCTATTTTATTTCTTTTGTGTGTGTATTATATAATACTACAAATGGTTCGTGATTAGAGTTGAGCGAACCTGGACTGTAAAGTTCGGGTTCGTACCGAACATTATGTTTTTTTGGACCCCGAACACGGACATATCACTGTATGTTCGGGTTGGAGTTCGGTGTTCAGCGATTTAATGGCGTGTTTTGAAAGGCTGCAGGCAGCCAATCAATAAGCGTTTGACTCGCGTGCCCTTACAAGCCATCACAGCCATGCCTACTAATGGCATGGCTGTGATTGGCCAGTGCAGCATGTGACCCAGCCTCTATATATAAGATGGAGTCACGTAGTGCTGCACGCACATGAGGTCTTATTAGTGTAGGGAGAGGATGCTGCCGCTGTGAGGGACAGCTTAGGAAAGAATTCTGCAAACTAGTACATTAGGGGGGTGCACTTTATATCTGAGAGTCAAATAGAAGAGTCAAATACTGCGGTTACATCAGAGTTTTAAAAAGTCTAATTTTTTTTGGTGCTAAATAGTACATTTGGGGTGTGCACTTCATATCTGAGAGTCAAATAGAAGCATCTAATAGTGCGCTTACAGCGCAGTTGTAAATATTCTAATTGTTTTGCTGCTAAATAGTAAATTTTGGGGCGTGCTCTTCATATCTGAGAGTCAAATAGAAGCCTCAAATACCAATATAACTATTGTAATTCGAGGGCAATACCCTCACAAGTCAAACTGAGAGGTCCGTTTATAGGGAAAACTGTTGCCTGGAGGAAATTCTAAAACCATTTCCATGTGTCCTTTGCAGACTTTACATGCTGGAAAAAACACAGGTGCCAACTGCTGTGGCTTTCTGCCGTGTGCAGACCGGCAATGAGGGCGGGGTTGAGGAGTGGGTGGAGGATGATGAGTTCCTAGACCCCACATGGAATCAGGGTCATGCGAGTGACGTGTGCAGTTTGGAGGAAGAGGCGCTGGTCGCTCAAAGGCACCAGCACAGAATAAGAGGGAGCAGGGTGCAAAAGTGGAGTGGCCGTCCCCTAGCGCTCATCGGCATGTATTATCTTTTAGAATTCCCACAGTTATCCAAGTAACAGATGGAGCGATAAAAGGAACCATAACAGATTTAATGAGCCTTTAGCAGTGCGGGGACTGGGACCCAGACACTGTCTGGGCGGCGGTCGGACGTCCGGGACCCAGTATGCCTGATGTTGAAGTTAGGAGTCACAGTGGAATGGATGTGCAGGGTAACTGCACGCCCCCTGGTGTTGAGCACCAGCGTTTGTGCAGCCACATACCAGGAGCCTGATGCAGCTTCAGTAAAGAGTACTGGATACCAGAAGCCATCACCAGACTGACCGCAACTTGGAACAGGATGTGACATTCACTGTAGTTGCTGTGCGCGCTTTCGGCATTCTCACCCTATTGCTGCTCGCCTGTCTGCGCTGCAGCGTAACTTTGGCCTTCACGCTTACACCTTCATGAGACTGTGCGAGCTGCAGCATGCACGGGTCAGTCGCTCTGCGCCAGACTTGCCCTCCAATTGATTAGAATTAAAGGATTTCAAGTGGACTCATTAGAATTACAGGGCCTCTAAAGAGTCCTATATTGCTATTTGTCGTCACTACCTCCCCGCCTCGGGAATGGGTCATATTCGCGCCTGCTGCCTTCCTTGCATGTGGTAGCTGTTTGTCAGGGTCCCTGTATGAAATTGAACCCTGATTCCCCGTTAACCGTGGCATCAAATGGCATTGAAAGTTGATATGGATTGATATACGAACGCGTCGTTGGGGAGCACATTAAAAAAGTACTCTAGCATGACGAGCTGGGAGATTTCTTCCGGGAACTTGGTTTGATTGGAGTTGAGCCAGTTCTGGGTGGCCCTTGTGATGCCACAGTGTATATCCAGATATATCAGAGCTGCTGCAGAAAGTGCAGGCCGTCTGTGCGCGCTTTCAGCGTTCTCACCCTGCTGCTCGCCTGTCTGCGCTGCAGTGTAAAGCGTAACTTCGGCCGTCCCGCTCACCGCATCATGAGACTGTGCAAGCAGCAGCAGGTGATAGTGGAGTTTCAGATGCAGTCAGTCGCTCTGCGGAACAGTTTTCTTTTTTATGTCTCAATATTTTGGGGGCTACCCCAATTTAAAAAAATAAAAAAAAAATAAAATTTATATATATATATATATATATATATATATATATATATATATAAATTTTATATTTTTTTTTTCTCTCTCCAGCACTCTAGGTCTTGCAAAAAAAACTTCTCAGGTTTATTCCAACAATTAGTCAACGTTTCAGAACTTTGTGTGTGGTGTGTGTGTGTTTTTTTTAAATTTTTTTTTTTTCAGACTTAGAGTGCTGGCTTTTTTCATTCATCTATTTATTGTGCAGCCGAGCACCAGGCAACATTTCAAGGATAGCTGAAGTGCAAAAGTGTGTGTGTGTGTATATGTGTATATATATATTTGTGCTCGGAATTTAAATATGTAATGGATAGTATCTGTGGGCAAAGTTGGTTGTGGTGTGCCGAAACCAACGTACGAGTGGGCCTGCAAATAAGAGGGCCCACCAAGGAGAATGTAGTTATAACAGGGTGAAGGTGGGTGGGGACAATCAGCTGAGCAGCAGCGGTGAGTAGGGGCTGGGAGTTTAAGTAGGGGACTTACTCCTCCCACAAATTCAGGCCTAATGGGGGTGTGTGTGTGTGTATGTATATATATATATATATATATATATACATATACACACACACACTCTGTTGGCTTCCACCTTCACCGCCTCCTCAACCAATGGGTCACTTAGTATAAACTATGTACACAATAGCTCAGTTTGAATAATGAAAGAGAATACCCTGCACTCCAACCCTCTCTTAAATGGATAATTCTGGTGATCCTCCTGACAGCCATGCTTTAGATTTTGATTTATGTTCTTCCAAAGCTAAAATCAAAGATTCCATCTAGTGCTATTTTAACAACTTCTGTTTGAAATAGACTGCACCTCTAAAGTTACCATCAACAAATCTGTACTCGGAAGAATGTGCTGGAGTTAGAATAGTTTATACTATTACATCATGGTTTTTGAAAAATAAACAATAAAAACCTCATGGATCTTTGAATATGGTCTGTGTCTCAGAGTGTATACTGGGCTAATCCTCAAGGTTCTAAATATTTTTTATATAATCCTTATTTACCTTCTAGGACCTTGCTGAGAAGGTATTCCCAGTACAGCTGATGCTTTGTCATTGGGAGTGACATGCTGGTCCCAGCCTGCATCAGATTTCCCTACCTGTCAGGAATACTAACACACATGTGCAACACAGGAAACCGCTGATCCGTGTCACAGGATGCGGCATGGGGTAGGGAAATATGACCGAACACAGGTCCTGTTACTTCCTGGTTTGGTTAGCTCAGTGGAGCTAAACCCAAGCGGCAAGCAATTGCTCAAAGCAACTGCCTTGGAAAGGCTTCTCGTTGTCCAATCACAGACTTCTCAAAGCGACTCAGCCTCAGAAAGTCTAGGCTGGAGAGAAGGGGTGCTTGCAGACGCAGCATGGAGGATCTAAATAAAGACCAAAAATTGGCAAGGGCTAAAATTCCTGAGGGACATCCAGTTCCAGAACAGTATCAAAAATGGTAGTGGTGGTATATGTGTCATATTGACAAGTCAGTGTTTGGGCTAGTTGATAAAGGATTTCAGATTTACAACGCTATCAAATGATCCATATTTAATAGCATCTTTTAGTTGTATTCCAAATCTCTACATTGAAGGACCATGATAGGCATCCAGATGACTCTATCTCAAAGAATTGGTCTGGATACAGTGGTCCTTAAGTTAACGCTGCAATTTAAAGCATTGCTATTTAGTAGATAATGCATTGCTTGAATTGAAGGGTTCAGTCGCTTCTAGTGGCTGCCTTCCTGTGGTACAATTCCGCTATGAAAACAGAGTCAAACTTGGTTCTCACAGCTAACCTCCATTTCACTGAAGGAGGGCTGCGCTGGCTGCACATGCACTTTTGTCCCTAATGCTCATCAATGAGAAGCTCTGGATTGGATGTTTATAGTGTTTGTATAATACAGTTTTTCTAACAAAAGGAGGACTCATTACAGGTAGTTATGGTTGTGACATCTCATATTAATTTTAAAGGCTCCTCTTCCAGCACATAAGTGATGAGAGAACCTGTATGTTTATATTTTCAGTAGTTTCACTGATTTCTCTTATTTTGTTTGTTCTTAGGCAAGTCTCTAAAATCCCAATAAGAGGGCAACGATTGGTAGAACACAGTCTAAGTGCACTCATTGACTGGTTCTAAATTTGAACTTGAACCGGAACCTTGTTTCAGAGTTCACTTGAGGTTGAGCTAGATCAGGTCAATAGCACGGAAACTGCATTCTGGACAACCTTACAAATGTTTACATTGAACAATGTGTGCTATTTCTTCTGAATGTTTTGTATACATTTTTGAGTTAGTGATATGACACTTGGGGTTAAAGAATCTAGCCTTCGCTATGACGTGGGTTGTTTCCTGGATATCTAGTGTTATGTAATTTATTAATTTTGCAACAGACTACACCATGTCATTTCTTCCAACTCTTGCTTCTTGGCTATCTGAAAATGGAAGCTCAATCCGCATACAGAGAGACTATATGATCACAGGGGACCATGGCACTTGCTAGCAATTATAAAATTGCATCTCGCCTTCGTTTATTATTAATATCTCCCTTTGTTGCAAGTAAACTGTCAAACTATCTTTCACATCAGCGTTTTGATGTGAAAGATAGTTTGACAGAAGTAGGTAGGCTGTCTTATTTTAATTTCAGGGGTAACTGAGAAATGTATTGATATTGATTGGTTGTCAATGATTTGTGGACCCCTGCCTACACAGTACAAGCTTTCGGGAGAACCTCCCTTTCTCAAGTCTGAAGCATTTCTGAGCAAGACGACGAAAAAAAGTTATTACAAGATAATAAATAAATATATATATATTCCACCCTGTACTGTGTAGGCAGGGGTCCACAAATCATTGACAACCAATCAATATCAATACATACAGAATAAATCTGAAATCCTTTATCAACTAGCCCCAACACTGACTTGTCAATATGACACAGATACCACCATTACCATTTTTGATACTGTTCTGGAACTGGATGCCCCTCAGGAATTTTAGCCCTTTCCAATTTTTGGTCTTTATTTAGATCCTCCATGCTGCCTTTGCAAGCACCCCTTCTCTCCAGTCTAGACTTTCTGAGGCTGAGCCGCATTGGGAAGTCTGTGATTGGACAATGAGAAGCCTTTCCAAGGCAGGTGCTCTGAGCAATTCCTTGCCGCTTGGGTTTAGTTCCAGGACAAGTTCCAGTAACCTGTGTTCGGTCACATTTCCCTACCCCATGCCACACCCTGTGACACAGATCAGCGGTTTCCTGTGTTACACATGTAGGGAAATCTGATGCGGGCAGGGAGCAAATGCAGGACCAGCATGTCACTCCCAATGACAAAGCATCAGCTGGATGTGTGTGTGTGTGTGTGTGTATGTATGTATGTGCTATGATGAACAAAAATATAATGTATCACTCCATGTGTTTTCTAAAAATAGAGTGAATAAACACTGTATATTTACCATCTCATTGGTGTATACTTGCAGGGTAGCATTCCTTCATGTTGTGTTTTCTGTGTCATTCTACTAATGTGGCTTTCAGAAACCCAACTACGTGGGGGGAGGGGGGGGGGGTGACGAAGGGAGGGAAGTTTTCATTTTTAAATGCGTATAAACACCTCAAATGTCAGTCACAGCAATAGCTTTTTAATGAATGGTATTTTATATATTTTTGTTTCTTTACAGGTGAAAATGAGATTCTTCAGACTCTCCATAACATAGCAAGTAAAAACAAGATATGGAGGTCCTACATTGGGATGGGCTATTACAACTGCTCCGTGCCCCAAGCCATATTGCGAAACCTGCTGGAAAATGCAGGATGGTAAATACAAATCTTATATATTTTTATATATATATATATATATATATATATATATATATATATATAATTTTTTTTTTTTATTTTTTTTTTTTGTCAAATGTTTTTTGGTGAATAAGGTTTTTGTGTTGTCCCTTCTAGCAAAATACTCATGTCCACAGAAATAAAATAATTTTAATAAATACAAAATCACATTGTGCAAATGCTGTCTAACATAGTAGACGTGTTAATTTAATTTCTTGGAGCCAACAATGCTCAGGAAAACTATAAATATTTACAATTGTTGGTTGACTTGGCTAGAATGTCAGGCCTTTCATGATTATAAGCATCCTATGACAATATCGCCTTATTGTTTCGGATCGATTTTAATTCCGGTCATTAAAGGTTTTATCGGAACCAAAGAAATATTGCTGCAAGTAATATTAATTTAAAAAAAATTATAGTAAATTGATATTATACTTAAAGTTGAAAAAAATCTGATTTGGTGATTCAAAGCAACTTATGAATGACAATGCAGGAGAGGGTCGCATCTTTCCCCTCCACCCCCCGCCCCCCAATTAGCATGGGATTGCTAATTATCCAGAAAGGGTAATGGGATGGGTAACCATTTATTTATTTATTTATTTATTTATTTTTGGGTGGAGTTGGATAATGACATGCCCTTATTTATACATAGTGCTTCATATGTACAAATATACTTGCATGCTCACTCTGTTTGAATGTACAACATTTTATCATAAATATCCCATTGTACAGCGCTACAGAATTTGCTGGCGCTATATAAATAATCTAATATAAACCGTCCATAATTTATTTTTTTAAATTCGTTTGGAAGTGCTTGTGATTTAAATCTGGCCTTCTGTTTCTGGCACTTTTGAATTTCTAAAGCAGATTGGGTATTCTAAAGAAATATTAATTGTCACTGTTATCTAATGCAGATTATTGACCTCTGGTCAATAATCTTCAGTGTGTGGTGGATTCACGTAGGGAGCTGCCAAAATCCTTTTATATAGGAAAACCGCAAACTATTCTGGGTACCAGGTAAAAAGAAGTGGTTTTTAATATTATGAATCTGGAGTGAAGAAGTCATCCATGAAATAAACTAAAAAAGAAGCACGCAGTTGGCATATGCCTTTTCATGCACTAAATAGTAACCCTTCGTGAGAATATAGAACTTGGAAGAGAATATATTCTAACAGTAATGGTTTAACATCATCCATGACAAATGTATATGCTTGAAATTAGAGCTGATCAGACAGTGTTCTCTGATATTTACTAAGCCAATAAGCCCAAGCCAGGCATAAAAGCTCTGATCTAGCTGATGTGACCACTTGTCAGTCTCTCAGGACGTGAGTTGCCAATTTGATGGGGGATGGGGACAGCAGGCGCCTGGTCCATCACATTAATATCCCAATGTTTCAATAGGTGAAACACCCTGCTGGATCTTGGCTTGTTTTAGTGGCACCACATTCAGTTATCATCGGATTTCCTGGAGCTCACTATACACACTGTAACTTACTTACAAGTAATTAACTATGCAGTAGGGAATTCTGCATTTAAGGGTATAATGATTCTAAGCCATCTGCATGAAGTTTGTTTTAACATTCAACAGTTTGATGCAGGCTATACAATTCATTGGCTTATCAGATAATAGGAAATGGTAAAATAATCAGCTGTTTATATATCCCACACTAGATGTGATTAAGGTATCTGACTGTGGGGAGGGGGCTCTAATGTCCTCAAGCACTTCTCAGATCCTTGCATTGTTTCTGCTGGGATAACCCTCCTGTTGTTGTTTTTCCACTTCAAAGGACAAGTGTGAAAAACACTTTTGGAGTTTAGTGTTCTGTTCTGAAATGTGGCACCAAGAGGTCAATGGGGCAGAGTTAACAATAGAATGTGCTTATTGGATCTATTGGTTTCCATAGTGACTACTCACTGTGGCGAAACCGGCCTCGCCACGTGTCCTTGGAGGGGGCTGCTTGCCCGCCTCTTGCCTTTGGACTATGGACCAGACTTTATGTGAATGTGTTAACCCAGATAGCTATGCCATGGAGCCCATTCATGTAGTTAAAGACTTCGGCTCCATGGCAATTGAACTGTGTGAATAGGATCTGAGCGCTATTTGGTAGTTTAGCTATCTGGGGATATGTGAAATGTCTGTGTCTTATGTGTAAAAGGTGACTTGATGTGTTTTGTGTCTTTTTGCAACCATGTGCTTAATAGAGTCTTGTGTCTGTCCTGGGAGATAATTGAATTACTTCTCAATTCAATCTCCAGGATAGAAGACTCTGAAACTGGTTTGGGCCGGAAAGCCATGCTTCATTTAGTCACAAAGGACTTTCCCTTAACTTTTGAACCCCTGGTCTGATTCGTGCCATTTTTTAATATGTTGTTCCCCTGAATGGATTGATTATGAAAATGTATGTTTTATGTTTGTGACATGTATATTTTAGAAGTTATAAATATTGTGTAAAAACTGTATTCCTCTGCTGGTGATAATGAGATTACCCATTATGTTCAGTAATTATATCACATACAGAGGGGAGGATTTTGTGTGGGAGTGTCTGGGTGTATTGTACGGATTGATTGGTTGTTTTGTAACGCCCTGTGGGCTGTACTATGTTTGTGGATTGGGAATAAAAGAGACTGTATGTGACAGTACAGAGAGTTCCTGTTTTAACCCTCAAAGTGAAGTGTCGTCTCATTATTGGGGGAAGGATTTATTGTATGCTGTTCCAGTTTGACTGCTAGGAGAGTAAACCTATTCGTATGGTTCCTATTCAACTGTCTACAGCATTCATATGCTTGAGAGGATTCATATGCTTCTCCGGTTCGGTGGTTGTGGTGTCTGCTGCAGTGCTTGGAGTCCTCAGGAAGCGCTAGGAGCATCCTTTAACGGAGGTACCCAGTCGGGGGTGCCAGGCGATCCGTTACACTCACTTTTAGTACTTTTCAGCACATAAAGGGGGAATTTTTTTACCTTGTTCTGAAACAAGGCAGTTATATGTCATCACTAATAACTGTATGAAAGTGATCTAAAAAAATATTTTATTCATAGTAAATTCCAGAAATTCACAGAAATTTCCATTTCCGAACACCTGCATATTTACAGCGGCAGAAAAAATCATGTAACATTCATAAATGGGTGCAAAAAAGTAACCGATTAGGATTCCAACAGAATTGATCAATTGTGACAAAATTCTCCAAACATTTGCTGAGAATTAGATAAAAAATTTTTTTTTTTTTTTTTAAATACATAAACCCTCTCAATGTGTACTTTGCACAGCTTACCATGCCTATAGCAAAACTACACTAAATGTAGGTTTCAACACTAAAACGTGCAATTTGCTATTAAGACCACCTGGATGTTGGGCAAAAGTAACATCCCAAGGACATACTTGAAAACCAGAGCAATTTGAATGTACCTTTCCTATTTAAATACTCTGTTGTTATTATAGTCTACATCATGCATGCAACCATCCCTTTTTAGACTTTTTTATTTATTTTTAAAAATAAATTTACTGCATGCCTCTATGAGCTGACACTACATCTAATAGCCATGGTTCCTCTAAACAACACAACTCCCTATGGTGAGATCTTTGTTGATTGCCTGGCTAAGCAGGACAGTGCTGGCATCTGATGAAAGTAAAGACTGCCTGTAGCTTCCCCTAAATGAGATTGGAATTCCATCTCCATGGAAACTGACCCAACAAATTCCATGGACAGGAGAACAAAGATGGTAAATGCTCAGGACAAAAGGCATGAGTTTTTTTACATGCATTTGCATTCTTGAACGAATCTTCCAGTAAATGTATACAACACTGCAGTATCTTGTTTTTCCTACATGGACAAACTAATGTATTTGTCCTAAAGAGTAACAGGAGAGTGTATTAATGTGTTCTTTTATATCATTTTTTGTGTCAGAGTATTGCAAAACTCAAATATCGCAATGCAAACAGATACAAAGTGTTTGTGTATGTGTGTGAGAACACTGTGTCAGCTGTTAACTCAAGCTATTGGTCTGTCAGTCTGCACACAGTGTCCATGTAAACAAGGTCTGTGTTCACCCCCACCACGTCCTCCTCACTTATGTATCTAGTTTCCTATTCTGTTGTCTCCAATAAAGAAGCAACATACATTTCCTACATTTAATTTTAGTTTTAAATTCATTTATGCATTACTAAGTAACCTGTAGTGTATATGTGAAAATGAGAGAAATCTCAATGTATCCTTCCTGGTAAAATATTTTATAAATAAATAAAATTGTGTGTGTGTGTGTGTGTGTGTGTGTGTGTGTATAATTTTTTTTTTTTTTTTTCACCTTCAGAACAACTTTTGCTTCTATATTGAAAGCCAATTTATCATGATTATGGGGTTAAACTAATAGCTGGATTTTTTTTTTTTTTTTTGTGTGTCAATCACATTACTCATTGGACTCTTGTTGCCTCACCCTGATAAATGTTACCTAGCATGCGATATATAATCTCCAGTATACCTGTACAGCCTCTTCATTGCAAACTCCATCATTCGGTTTCTGACATAAGACTAAAGTATTTATTATACTAGTTTTTTCATCTTGATATCTGTATCACAGTTACTCTGGTGCATAGCCTTTGTGGAGTGGGGCTTTGGGGCTGAAGCCCCAGATGTGAGACTAGTTGACCCTAGCTCTCTACAGATAGTGGATGGGGCATGAGGTTATTTGAGTTATTTATTTTTATACGTTTACAACTGGCAGTGGCTTCTCAACGCAGCCTCCTGACCTAAAAGTACAGTTCACTAGTCGAGTGCTCTGCATGTCTACTAAGAAGGAAGGGTGGAACCACCAAGGTACTGTCAGAATTGGCTACCGGGGAAGAGAACATTGATCATCTCCTATTAGCATGGCGTGATAACACTGAATTCTTTACTGTGCAGCATTTACTTGTTTCCAGCTATGCTTTCATTGAGACCCTGGACAGCATCAGCAGCACCCAGTTCATGGCTAGTGAGGATGAGACCTAGAATTGAGAAGTGGTGATATGTCAAAACATATCCACACCTTTCTGCTAGTATAGGCAGTAATCACATTTTGCTTTAGACTTAAGCACCAGGTGTTTCTATATCTCAACAATGGGTTTTTAATTTTTATTTTTGTCCGAACTGCAGTTGATCAGTATTTTGGCTGTTCAGATGATTGAATTCCCAATGGTACACCATTGACCAATGTTAATTGGTTACCTTTTTTGGTGGTAACCAGTTGACTAGGGTTTTTAATGGTGCGAAAGTGTTGTGGGCTTTCTTTTTTTTTTCTCTTCTATGAGGAAGTCCTGTGTTATTGAATTATTAACAGCAACTTAAACTCCACTATGACTTAGCTGAAAAAAAGAGGCTTGTGGTAGCCAAGTGTGTTCAGATCTTTTTCTGTTGATGGGGAAGGAGGGTAGGGAAAGTAATTCACTAGAGCAGGCATAGGTAACCTTCAGCACTCCAGATGTTTTGGACTACATCTCCCATGATGCTTTGCCAGCAGTATGGGTGCAGTAGCATTATGGGGCATTTAGAGTGCTGAAGGTTGCATATCTCTGCACTAGAGAATATAAGGTTTATCAAGGAATCTGATGTAAACTATTTGGCGAGATGACAAAGGGTAATTAGAGTTGATTATACATGCATACACTGATCAGCCACAACATTAAAACCACTGATGGGTAAAGTGAATAACATTGATTATATTGTTACAATGGCACCTGTCAAGGGGTGATATATATTAGGCAGCAAGTGAACAGTCTGTTCTTGAATTTCATCTGTTGGAAGCAGGGGGAAAAAAGCAAAAGGTTTTAAGTGACTTTGACAGGGGTCAAATAGTGATAGCTAGTTGACTGGCTCAGAGCATCTCCAAAGTGTCAAGTCTTGTGGGGTGTTCTTCTGGTATGCAGTGGTTAGTACTTGCCAAAAGTGGTGCAAGGAGGGATAACCGGTCAACCATCTGGTGAACCTGGGTCTTGGGTGAAAAATACTCCTTGATGCATGTGAGGAGCTACTGTAATTCAAATTGCTGAAAACCTTAATTGCCATGATAGAGCGGTGTCAGAACACTGTGCATCACATCTGACTGCATATGGAACTGAGTAGCCGCAGACCAGTCAGTGCCCATGATGTCCCATGTCCACTGCAAAAAAGTGCTTTGGCATCAGAAGTGGACAACGGCGCAATAGAAGAAGGTTGCCAGGTCTGATGAATCATGTTTTTCTTAAAGTTCAGTTGGATGGATGGGTGTGTCAGTCATTAACTGGTAAAGAGATGTCAGCAGGATGTACTACGTGAAGAAGGCAGCCCAGCAGAGTCAGTTATGCACTGGGCACTGTTCTTTTGGGAATCCATGGGTCCTGACATTCATGACCCGTACCACTTACCTAGTGATTGTGGCAGACCATGTACACCCCTTCATGGCAATTGTTTTCCCTGATGGCAGTGGCCTTGTTCAGCAGGATAATTCACCCTGCCAGACTCAAAAATAGTTTAGGAAGCAGTGTTTCCTGAACAAATGTCCAGCTGAAACATTGCTTCAATAAAGTCTGATCCCTACTTGGATTCAGAGTGTACAGGAATTTGTTTAGGCAGTAATGAAGCAGCCTAATTCACTAAACTAGGATTTGTGGAAAATGGACAATGGAATATAATTTTTTTGGGGGGAAAGGAAATGTTGGAGACTTTATTTTTTTGTAAAAATATTTTTCAATATGGAAATTTTTGCCTAAAGTGTAAAGGGACACTATAGTCACCCAGACCTCTTCAGCTCAATGAAGTGGTGTGGGTGCCAGGTCCCCCAGGTTTTAACCCTTCAGATGTAAACGTAGCAGTTTCAGATAAATTGCTATGTTTACATTGCAAGGTTAATACAGCCTCTAGTGGCTGTCTTCCTGACAGCCACTAGAGGCACTTCTGCGAAGCTGGATGCGAAAATCGCATTCAGCGTGCAGAACGTCCATAGGAAGGCATCGGGAGCCGACGTCTGAGGGAGAGGAGAGGTCACCAGCGCCGAGGGATTAAAGGAAGTAACTGAAGGGGTTTTAACCTTAACACTATAGGGATCCTTTATCTTGGCAAAAAAGCTCCTGTATGCTACATGTTCTTTCCTAAACCCAAGCACTTTGAGTTGAAAAGCAGGTAGATATGAGTGCATCAAAGTTAAAGAATGTTCGATCGTGGGGGAACAAAGCATTATCCGGTAAAAACCTGCATGTAGATTATTATTTGGGATGGGGTACCTGCACTTTTTTTATGTTTAGTAGTCCATGGAATGTAAATGCTCTGAATGTAATCTTGCCACAACTAAGTTAAAGCTATTTTGAACTAGGTATTTTAAAATTAAAAAATCATATAGATGCACAAAACTAAAAAACACGTGTGTGTGTGTAAATAATATATATATTAACTTCCCCCCCCCCCCCCATGTCTATTAAAACTGAAAACTGATTTTAAGCCCCTAAAATTAAGTATGAGTTTTTTAATCTGAAACTGAATATGCGCAGGTTAAGCACAATAGGGCAAAGTGTTTTATTTAAAGTATTATTGAGTAGTCCTCCCTTAAAAAATAAAATATAAAATAAAAATCTGTATGAGGTTGTACAATGTGCATTAATCTAAATTCAAACGGGAAACTTACAATGTCCTATGTTTTATTCTCTAGGGTCACACAGTACACTCCCTATCAGCCTGAGGTATCACAAGGCCGCCTGGAAAGTTTGCTTAACTACCAGACTATGGTCTGCGATCTCACAGGAATGGATGTTGCTAATGCATCCTTGCTGGATGAGGGAACAGCGGCAGCAGAAGCAATGCAATTATGCCACAGGTAAGAAATAGTTATACAGAGAAGCATGCGTTTTGGGGAAAAAGCCATTGAGGTGTACTGGACACAACCTAGTACCAGTAATCAACAAGACTGAATGTTCCTTCTAGCTGTTTACAGAATCTTGAGGTTACACACTTGACTTGCATATGTCACTGTTGTGTATCTTCCAAAAAAGGAACACTTTATTTTTTTTTAACAGTTTAGTTAAAAACCATATAAAGTGATGCATGTTTTCTCAGGGGCATATGAAATTGTGGCTTGTAATAGCTGCAGATCTGGTATCTGAAGCCATTTTAAGCTCTCCCCTTCTTCTCCAATACATACTTTCTTTGAAGCTTCTCACGAAGAAGCTTAGTGGATCATCAATGTTTGTGTTTTGGAGTGTCCCTTTAACAGAACTGCGATGAGTGTGGCAGGTAGATCACCAAGCTTGAGAGGTGGGGTTGGACTTTTGAGGGTGGGTACAATTTCAGGTGGTCTAAGATCTATTTCTATAGAAAGCATGTATGCTTGGTATGGGGTTCAGGCAGATGTGTAGTGCCCTACTCTAAAATGGGAAGGATAGTGAGCATGCCTAAGCAAGCACACTAAATTCTGTGTTGAGAAAAGCTACTAAAACCTTTTTTTAAATTGTGACCATGCATTTTTTTTTCTTTTTATCAGACACAATAAAAGAAGGAAATTTTATGTAGACAGCAGATGCCATCCTCAAACAATAGCTGTGGTACAGACAAGAGCCAAGTAAGTAGATTTTAATTCCACTCACTTTCATTGTGCATCACAATGTGAGTGAGCTTACTTTTTTAGTAGTGCCATCAAGCTAGAGAACCGACTAATTGATCAGAAAATGACCTTCAAAGATAAGTTTCCAAGCATGCCTAATTGTAACAATGGGGTAAAAATGACTATTTTAATGTATTATGTAGGACCCTCTCATTCTGGATTGTGGATTTGGTATTGACTCCATAGACCTATGTCCATGGATTTATGAGATAATCCTATATTCCCCTTGCAGCAGTTTCACTGACCACATACCAATAGCCGTCACATTAAACTTACTGTGCTTTCATTTTGGGTACTTCTTTGTGGAATACATTTTAAATGTTTATTTCCTCTATTGGACATATATTAATAAAGAATGACTTAAAACCATGTTTGGGTCTAGTGTGCATTCATTTTTAGTTTCATGTGCCCATTTAACCCACTAAGGACGGAAGCAATCGTCCACATTCTGAACCAAAGCAAAGCCTACAATTTGAGCTATATGTCTGTTCAACCACAATTTACCTCTTTTATATTAAGTGAACCCACAAGTACTCTATATAAGAAATTTTATTTTTCAAGTTCTGCATGGAATTTTAACAGTGAATGTCCGAATACTGTTCACTTTTTCTGCAATGCAATACGTATATGTGTATGCTGTGATGTCCCACGAGTACAACAAGGCCCTCCGTGTACACGTTTCATGGTGTTTTGGAAAGTTGCAGGGTCAGTTTGCCAGATTGGTTTGCTGTGCCCATGTTGCCTTTGATATTGCAGACCAGGAATGAAAATTAAAGGACCACTCTAGGCACCCAGACCACTTCAGCTTAATGAAGTGGTCTGGGTGCCAGGTCCAGCTAGGTTTAACCCATTTTTTCATAAAAATAGCAGTTTCAGAGAAACTGCTATGTTTATGAATAGGTTAAGCCTTCCCCTATTTCCTCTAGTGGCTGTCTCATTGACAGCCACTAGAGGCGCTTGCGTGCTTCTCACTGTGATTTTCACAGTGAGCGCACGCCAGCGTCCATAGGAAAACATTATGAATGCTTTCCTATGTGACCGGCTGAATGCGCGCGCATTCAGCCCAGGAGGAGGAACGGAGGAGGAGAGCTTTTTTATTACCCCTTTCCCCCTTCCAGAGCCGGGCGGGAGGGGGTCCCTGAGGGTGGGGGCACCCTCAGGGCACTATAGTGCCAGGAAAACAAGTATGTTTTCCTGGCACTATAGTGGTCCTTGAACCGCATCATGGCATAGTATTTGCAAAGGTAGACGCAGGGTATTCAAAACTGGGTCACAAACCCTGGACAAAAATAGTGTTGATATTTAGTTTTTTGCATTTTTTCACACACAAACTGCAATTTCACTGATATCCTTGTCATTCTACAATTTACTGCTATAAAACACCTATTTGTATTCAGTAATGTCTCACGAGTACAACAGTTTCCCCCAATGTACAGGTTTTATCAAGTTTTGGATAGTTCTAGGATCACATATAGAGCATGCAAACTAAATTCTCTGGAAGTTCTGCTTTGGTTGTCTGGCAGGTGTATCTATCTCATCTATCTATCTCATCTATCTGTATCTATCTGATCGTATCTAGAATTTAGTGTGCATGCTCTATATATGATCCTATATATATAATTACATAATATAGTTTTGGATAGTTCTAGGATCACATATAGAGCATGCACACTAAATTCTAGATACGATCAGATAGATACAGATAGATGAGATAGATAGATGAGATAGATACACCTGCCAGACAACCAAAGCAGAACTTCCAGAGAATTTAGTTTGCATGCTCTATATGTGATCCTAGAACTATCCAAAACTATAATATATATATATATATATATATATATATATATATATATATATATATATATATATATATATATATATATATATATATATAATATAGTTTTGGATATCTCTATATCTCCAGATCATTGGGCTGTGCTATGCTACCCTTTTATTGTTGTGAAAAGGTTCAAATACTTTTTTGTTTTATTAATTATTTTTTTTTTTTCTGGGTAATGGAGTGTGGAAGCATAGTCCAATAACAACGTATAAGCTCTCCCAGACCTGCAAGTATCTCTGCCATAGCTCCCTGAGACAGCTAGAGTGGGGAGAAATACTCAGGAGCGATACATACTTGCAGATCTGGGAGATCCTCTCAGATCAATATTTATTAACCCCGCCCCCTTCCTCCTGCTTAATCTCCTCACTCACACTCAATGAGGAGTGCTCCTCTGAGTGTGCTGTGACTGCCTCCTGCTTGCCTGCCTTCTCAACACTGAGCTGGTTATCAGGCAGAGCAGCTTCTCACAGCTCTGCAGTGTTCACCACTGTCCCCCCTTCCCTCCTAAATAAGACACCGAAATACAACTTGTAAGTGGCCAGGTATCTCTGCAGGGAGGGTTCATAGAGGGAGAGCAGACCTGCCAGTAATGAAGATGGGAGCACTTAGAGACATAGAAATTAATGTTTGTTGTATATTTATTTCTTAATTGTATGTCGGTGTCTGTATGACGGTCTGTATGACTGTATCTTAATGTCTGTGCCTGTATGTCTCTGTATGATTGTGTGTGTGACTATGTATGACACAGTCTGTATGTCTGTGTCTGTATGTAACTTTCCTCTTCCAAATGTTACACAACATCCTGTGACGTCCTGTCCAGTGACCTCACGCATACATAATTAATCATGCAAATTAGCATGGCCAGTATTTTTATTTATTTTTTCCAAGAAATGTGGCAACCCTACCCATAATGAGAGGTGTGAGCTGTAACAACCTGCGGTTACTCTGGCTTAGTACCCCCTTTGCGTCTCTGCTTCCTAGGCTATTTTTTTTACCATCCTTTATCGCCTTGCTGAGTCAGAGCATTCCGTGCCATTAGGAGCACTCAGATGCCTATCTCAAAGTACTCTGAGCAATGTTCAGAGATGAAGTACAATAAACAATAGGCTAATTTACAGTACATACAGATCCCTATCAAGACCTCTTCCCATAACTCATTGTTTTTCCTGCTGTAAAAAAAAACCTTCAGTCCTACCAAGACAAAAAAATACTTTGCACCATTTTGTCCATGTGATGGAACTTTGTTTAATTACCTTGTACTGTTTTGTTCCAGTTACATAGGTGTCACAACAGAGCTGCTGTTGCCGGAAGAGATGGACTTCAGTGCAAAGGATGTCAGTGGTGTGTTGTTTCAGTATCCGGACACTAATGGAAAGGTGGAAGATTTTGCCCAACTAGTTGACAGAGCCCATCAAAATGGAGTAAGAAAAATTCCTGCACAAACTCTGTATAACCAGAATATTATGGAGTTCAAATCAAAACCATATATGTTAAAGAGAAATATTTAACAGATTACACAAAAAGTCTTATTTCTGAGCTTGAGGAACAAAATTTTTTATTTGTTTACAAGCAGAACTAGAGCAACACACCATTTTTACCTCTGTAGCAGTGTTTATTTTACACTGCTGTCTGAAGATTCAGCAGTTTGCAATTCATATTTTAATGCAGGATCAAACCGTCCAGTGCCAGGAACATATTGCTATATATGTTCATACACTAGAAAAGTTGTCTAGATTTAGACATTTAGAACATTGGCTCAGAACCTCGGACATGTTATTAACCAGTTAAGGAAAGAATTCTCTCCCTCTCCCTCTACCTCTCCCGTTGTAGCTCAGCTTATCAGAGCTCTTGTCTTGTTCTGTCCTTAATGTAGATCTTTAACTGCTTTCTTCTGGCATTGACCCTGCTAGCCTAAAACATGCTATTGTTGTAACCATCAGAGAAAAAGCCATTTCTTGGCCTGTCTTCCCCTTCTAACTACCATCCCAGGTCCCTGCAATTTACGCAGCTGGGCCCAGTGGTTTCTAGTTACACCTCTGCCCATTAGACTCCTATAGTCTTCAATCATTTAAAAAGTCACTCAAAACCCATCTCTTCAGAAAAGCTTATGGCCTCCCTGAGCAACTTCAATTTTACAAAACTGTTTCTTGCTCTTTCTTGAAGGGCACAACTCCACTCTCACCTTCCAGTTATGCTGCTTTACCTCCCTGTCACGAGTTTGCCATTTCCCGCTCTGTCCTTCCTATTGTGTTTGTTTTTATTTTATTTTTATTTTTTTTATTTGCATAAAGTCATGGTTCAGATATCACTGATTTGTATACATAGAATATTGAGAAGTAACAATTATCTGTATGCGTCAAATACATAGAAAACAAGAATGTTTTCTAAAAAAAAGTGTATGTTGGAAGTTTTCCCCTTTGGTTAGCTTGCCCATGCTATTGCGTCCTATTGTGTTTTTTATACCCCAGCTCCTCTAGATTGTTAACTTGTTTGAGCAGGATCCTCAGCAACCTATTGTTCCTGTAAGAGATTGTAATTGTCTCATTTATCTTTAAATTTCCCTCTTTATAATAATGTAAAGTGCTGCGGAATAAGTTGGCACTATATAAATGCTAATAATAATGTTGATACTTGGATACAACAAACTCTTATTAGGGAAAAAAGACCTCTAATAAATGAAAGGGACACTGTAAGCAACATAACTACTACAGCTCATAGTCTCTTGACGATGCCTACTGGTTCTTTGGTTACCTTCACTGCTCTTACCCTATCGCTGTCGTCCAGTTTGGATCCAATTAAGACTGATAATGCGGGATTGTAAGCTGAGAAAGTGATGGTCTTTGTGTGCCAGGGAATGCACTCAGAGCTGGATATTAGAAGATATTTGTCATTATAAGAGGAAGGTATGGTTTGGATTTTTCTTGCTTACAGTCCTGTTTTTTTTTTGTCTCTAACAGATTGACAACGATGTAGGTGTTGTGCCCTGGTTCTTTCATCCTAGTGTTTAAGGGCAGTGGAGAGGTTTTTAAAAAAGCTGTAAAAGATGTTTGGGAATTGTTCAATATAGAAAGTTTTGGTAGTCAAAAAAAAACTGTAATGGTTTTAATTTATATGTATTAATAATATGCTAGCATTAGTGTATTTGATTTGTACTTCTTGTAATTTCTTCAGACCCTTGCTTGCTGTGCTACTGATCTCCTAGCATTATGCATTCTGAGGCCTCCTGGTGAATTTGGAGTGGACGTTTCACTTGGCAGCTCCCAGAGACTTGGCGTGCCGCTCTGCTATGGTGGACCACATGCAGCTTTTTTTGCAGTTAAAGAAAATCTTGTGCGGATGATGCCTGGAAGAATGGTTGGGGTAACCAGGTATGAAAGTTTAAACATATCCATTATCCTTTACCCTCATGAGACATGTCTAGCATTTACATGGAAGTAGCACCTTGTTTTGGATGTGGTTGTTGTATTAGCAAGTGTGCCCGAGCTGTAAAATATCACATATATTAAAGTAGTTTTTAGGACAGCCATTTCTATTTTAGACTTTTAGAACTTAATGGGGATAATACACGAGGACCACTAGGCATGCCCCACATACCACAACACCATACACGCAAATCTATAAGAGTAGGCAGTTCCTGCACTCTTGTTTTGTGTGGGTTTTCTGTTTTCTTCCCCCGTAGTGTGTGCAATGTATTGTCACATAGGTTATCTGTGCACTGCATTTTTAAAATGGGATTCTTTTCTTGTGTTTTTGTTTGTTTGTTTTTTAGTTAATTTTTCTATTTTCTAAGAATAAATGATTGGGGCTAAATTATTACATTGAAGATATTTTTCAGTTTCTGTTTTGGCCAATGATTTATAATTTCTTCTTCCAATTATATATAATTAAAGAGTTGCCTATTTAATTTATTTACCATTGTGATAAATACGACATCATGTTTTAATGTTTCACTTTTGCAATACAATGAAATTGCTAAATTTAACACCTTTTGAAAATTGCTTAATTGAAAATGATCCTTCTTTTCCTGCAACTTGTTTATATAAGGGAGAAAACCCACTATTTATTATTGCAGGAGCAGAAAAAAAATATTATATTTTATAGCCCAAATATAAAGGTTCTAAAATAAGATGCACATTGTGTTTTTTCACATTTCTTTGTCTTTAGTTACTCACAGATTATTAATTGTTCATTTTAAATTCTCATCTATCTATTTATTTTTGTTTTAGAGATGCTGCTGGAAAAGAAGTTTATCGCCTTGCATTGCAAACCAGGGAGCAGCATATCCGAAGGGATAAAGCAACAAGCAATATATGCACTGCACAGGTAATCCTAGAATTAAAGTGTCCATTCTCAAACAATAATATCTTTCCTCTGTTCCTGCCTCAGTTAAATTTTATGTGTACCTGATTGGAATCTGCTCTAATTGGACCCAGAATACTTCCTTTCATGGCAAACCGCTTCCCCCCCCCCCCCCAAAAAAAAAAGTTCAGGCTTCCTTACACTAGGGAGGGTAGGGGAGGGGGTGTAATTTTATCATATAGTATAAATATATATTTTTTTCTAAATTCCATGTGAAGGAATACTTCAACAGACAACCCAAGCACCATAACTCCTGTTCATTGCACATGTTATGGTGCAAGGACAACAATTATAAATTTGTTTTAATAATTGATTAATTGTAGCTTCAATAATTCCTGGCAATCCTTTACAACTGCTAAATAGCATGTGAGAGGCATATTGTTCTACTTTCATTTTATTTTGTTAAAATGTGATTTTCTTAATTAGTGGATACGGGACCTCCTCTTTCTTTCAAATAGAATATATCCTAATTTAGAATAAAATATAAAACTAAAATCTAACTTTTAAGAATATTCCATTACCTTCAGAGCAATCAATAGTTTAATACAATAACTGCTCCTTTTAATATTATTTTTATTATACTTTTTGCCATTTTTAGCAAGGTTAGCAAACACTATAATATAGTTCACATTCACATGAGACAGTTGTCGCACACAGAACATTGCGATATCTTTTGAGCGTTGAATCCAGGTAACATTAGCATTAACCTAATAGTCTTACAGAGGGCTTTGGAAGTCGCAAAATAGGTGGCAACGATTATGTAGGTCTCCACTATATTTGTGCTAAGATTGTATGTGACTCTAAGTTAGGTTTTTGTACTAGCCTTATAAGGGTTTGTCCTTTTGTTATTTCTGGTATATGTGTTTCAATGCGAATTAGTAGTACAGTTAACGATGAGTAGTTTGAATTCCATGAAGAATGGGAAGAGGCATGAGGAGTGGTGATAGAATAATAGGAATTAAGATAGAGGAGGTTCAGAGAAAGTTACAAGATGAATGGAAGTTTCAGGTCGTAATCGGAATAGGCAGGCCAGCGGGGCGGAAGGGCAGTCAGGCCGGGTGCCCTAAGACGGAGTCCAGGCAGAGCACTGAGTTCCCGAAGTCCTCCTCAGCGACCCTGAGTAAGCTATAACTGCTCTTTTTTTTTTTTTTTTTTAAAGACTGATAATTCTTTCAACATTATATTAGCCTTGAGTCAGTGGGTTTGATGAAGAAACATGATTGGTGAACTAAGCTTGCCCAAAAACCACCTACCTTGCAAGTCTATCCACTTTGACAAAGCCTGTTTCAAACGCAGGACTATGGATAGGTGCTGCACAGCTTGTACACTTGAAGACCTGTAGCATTAGGGTTCTGTGGCAATGCTGACCTCATCACTTCCTCCACAAAACTCCTGCCTAGTTGATAACTGGGGTTTGGGTGAAGTTGTTGGTTTGTGTTGCAAATGAAAACTAAATTGCAAAAACTTACACCTGTTTTAAAAAATAAATAAAAAAATAATAATAATTGTGCCACATGTCTCTCTTTTCATCTTTTTTTAGTTCTAATCTTTGTTGTGTAAAATTTTAATTGCATATGGTTCTTCATTTTGTTGCAGGCTCTTCTAGCAAACATGGCTGCTATGTTCTGTGTTTATCATGGTCCGAATGGCCTTAAGCACATTGCCAGGAGAGTTCACAATGCTACTTTAATTCTGGCAGAAGGTAATAGCTTGCATAGAATACATGTTTGTTCCCCAGTACGACTGTTCTGTAATCCTGTATGGGAATGTTCAGGCTTTCACAATGAGGGCCTGTGTGTTTCTTAAGTGTGCCCAAATGTTCCATTATCAAGATTCCATAAGTTTAATATTTCACCCAAAAATAGCCATATTATAAAGACTGAAACCGCTCGTGTAGAAAGTTATGAAACATATCCATAATGTATGAATGCAATAAATCTTCACACAAGCTCCTAAATAGTTGTTTTATTTTGGCATTTGTGCAGCGCCATTTTATTCCAGAGTGCTTTACAATATTAGAAAAGGGGTGAGTTTTTAGAAAGAAATTATACGATTACAAAATGTTACAGGAACAATAGGTTGATGAGGACCCTGCTCAAACAAGCTTACAGTCTAGTTGAAATGGAGTACCAATGCAGCTGGTGTGTCCTTTTAGCTGTAAAAATAACCATGGTACATTAAAAATGTAATTAATCTTCTTTGGTTTTTGTTTTCACTTTTTCATGGACATTTTATACCCCTTTATTTATTTTTCCCTCAGTTTAAGGTGAATGGTTTTTAGCATTTATATTTTAGATTAACATTTTCCAAAATGTTTCTCACAAGTATAAAGTTGGGTGAAATTATACAGAATCATATTTTTCTGTTTTACCAATCCATTCTAGTTTTTTTTTCTATAAGTTTATTTTTTCAAATTGTATTTTCTGTATTTGTTGTGTGTGTGTTCAGGTTTAAATAGAGCTGGTCATCAGTTACATCATGAAATGTTCTTTGACACATTGAAGATTCATTGTGGGTGTCCAGCAAAAGAGGTTCTGGATCGAGCTGCACAGCGTCAAATGAATCTTCGTACTTACAACGATGGCTCAGTAAGGCTTGGTGTTTTCTCCCTGCTTAGAATTTGTAGTAGCCTTTATGGAATTAAAAACTGTATTGTGTGTGTGTGTGTGTGTGTGTACACTGATTTGTATGGGGTTTTTTTTATTTGTTTTTTTACAATCTTTATTTAAAACATACATGGTAGAAAATGTATAAATCTGTATGATAATATGCACAGCATGACCATGTCAGAGCAGTGTGGACTCTACCATAATCATAAGTAGAAATGTTCCATGAGAGAAGGAGTGAAAGGACAGTGCTATTTATGTCCTTCATCAATACTCTGCCACTGACTTCCTCTTCCAAGACAAGTCTTTGAAATTGTAAATTTTATTTCTTTTAAATTAAATTGTCAGATTATTGTAATTTTTCCATATTTAAATGTACAATTTGAGTTTTACATGTCAACGGATCATTACGTTTATTCGCAGGGAAGCACATGTATATTATTTCCTGATGTAAAAGACACACAAGAACGTAAGACATAAACAGGCATTGTGGTTTCCCAATTGTAAATTATTTAAATTTTTTTTTTCTTTTTATTCCCAATAGCTTGGTGTATCTCTTGATGAAACTGTCACAGAAAGAGACCTGGATGATCTCCTATGGGTGTTTGGCTGTGAATCATCAGCAGTAAGTACTCTTTTGTGAATCATGCTTATGGAAATGCTGTGGAAGCTACTTTCCTTAGAGCCAACGAAATGTGAAAGGCAGAACAGCACTCACAAGCACATTTACTTTGTGTTGTTGCAAGGGTTAATTCATTTGACCAAAATAATTAGAAAATATGTGGGAGAGAAATTCAGGGATACCATCCACACTATAGATAGGCAGATGTCCTTTTTCCAATTGACCATTTAGGAGACTCAAAGTATTCAAACCGTAATGAGACCCATGTAAGTGAACATGTGCCTCTCCCTATTTAATTCTCTCTGCAGCACTCCTCCATGCTCAGTTGTGTGCCTACTGTTCTCTTGTCCTGTTGCATCTTAGTCATATTCTGATTCCTGGTATTTTAACCCCTTGCCTGTTTTATTGCTCAAGAAGCTACACTGCCTGGACTAACCATGTCTTTTGCCTGACCACGTCTTTGGAGTCTCCTTTTCTGTGCCTCACTATTGGTTTTATACTGCATATTGGGTTCCTCCTGTTCCAAACCCTTGACAATACTATACCACAGGAAAGACATATTCATCCTTTAGTTGGCCAGGCTTAAAGCGCCACTGTCATGCCGAATTTACCTTTCTTTAATCGATACCTCTTCTCTCCCTCTCTCAGGATCTGTTCTTCATTTCTTCCTGTCTGCTCTAGTTTTCCTTAAAACTTAAGACAAAGTAGGGACTATTTGTCTTATGGAGGTTTCCTACACCTGACCATCTCTGACCAGCGGAGGAGCAAAGTGTGCTTCATTTCCGGTGGTCAGAGCAATTTTCCCACAATTCTCACCTTTCTTCCATGTTCCTGCAAGGATGCAATTCGGTAGTTGGGATCAAACTGAGACAGGCCATGTCAAGGAGAACAGAGAATTGGAAGACCATTTAAACAGAGCCAGAGATAAGAATAGTGCAAGTCAAAACATTCTCGGGTAACAGACTATAACAGGTCAAAGTGGCTTAATGTAGACCTAGGATCATGTCTATTCGTCTGTGTAAGAAATTATGCAAAACATGCAACTTGCTTCACTACATCTACACAGAATGGTGTGGAATCAAAATAAGGATTCAAGCATCGGGAGTATAAATGATTTGCCAATCAAGTGATCTGCATCAAAATTGATGGCAGAATGATGCACAGCATCAAATGCCTGTGGCAATAGCCAGAGGGCACAGGAGTCACAACAGTGTACCAGATTAATCCATATGTAAAAATGAAGTTACTACAGATAAATATTTTCCATATATCTAGCTTCTGTTAGAAATACCTTGTACCTGTAGGGAGATGACTTGAGTCTGTGCTTGTTCACTGACTTTCTTGTGCCTGTACTTTTTCCAATATTTGAGTCTTTGCTATTTTACAGGAGTTAGTCGCTGAAAATATGGGCGAAGATATAAAGGGCATCTTGAGCACTGCATTCAAAAGGACCAGCAAATTCCTTGCGCATCAGGTGTTTAACAGGTATGGGATTATTGATTTAAAGGGACACTATATGCATCTAAACCACTTTAGCTTAATGAAGCAGTTTTGATGTATAAATATTGCACATATAGTCTTACTGCTCAAATCTCTGCCATTTAGGAGTTAAATCACTTTGTTTATGCAGCCCTAATCACACCTCCCCTGCATGTGACCTACAGTTTCCTTCCTGTAAAGAGTCAGTTTGTTTTTATTTAGAATGTATTCTCTCCTGCTCTGTTAATAGCCTGCTAGAAACTGAAAGAACCACCTGTTTTTGAATAACGTTTAATGTACACACCAGGAGAAACAATTCTTAAGTAAAAGTCAGAACTGATTGAAAATGAAATTTTTTTTTTTTTTTTTTTTTACATGCAGTCTGTGTGAGTCACAGCCAGGGAAGGTGTGGCTGGGGCTGAATTGACAGAAATAAAAGTGATTAAACTGCTTTAAAAAAAAGTGATTACAATTGTTTAGACTGTCCCTTTAATTCTCTCATTTTACAATTGGAGAGTAAATACATTCTAACTTTTTTTTAAATGTATTTATTTTTTTCTTCTTCTTTACCATTACAAGCTATCATTCTGAAACCAATATTGTTCGATATATGAAGAGACTGGAAAACAAAGATATCTCACTTGTGCACAGTATGATTCCTCTGGTTAGTATGATTTCTCTAGTAAAATATCCAGGACTCCAGGAATGTTGCTCCAGGCCACCTGGAGATGGGAAGAGCTTTTTATTTTGAGATTGCACGGCATTGAAGATAGCTGTAATCCCAGGCCACCTTGCTGTAACACCTAATATTCAATGTAGGGATGCGCTTGTATTGTATTCACAAGTCACTCACAGAAAGGTATAGCTTTTATCGCTTTAATAGATCTTGCCAAATCCTGAATGATGTCCACTTACCCCAATGTATTAGGCTAACGCTATAACAAGAGGATGAGACTGAGGTCCAATAACCCCAGCATCTATACACCCTATATATACTCCATGATTTTCATGGTGGCTTTGGAATTATCAGTTGTAAAGGTTATAGGCTTGACCTATATTGTAAAGTGTGCAATGTGGGTGGACAAACTTGCATAAATCTAACAATTCCTTGACTGTCCACATAAGATAAACCATCTACATGATCATACCACAATTCTTCTCTAGAGGGTGATGGCCACATCTCTTCAGTCACCTAGGTGATCCTATCTATGTCAATGCTAATAAAGTATTTTGAGTTCCAGAGGAAGAAAAATGATGCAAAAATTAATTATGAATATTTAATTTTTTTTAACCAGGGATCATGCACCATGAAATTGAATAGTTCATCTGAACTTACAGTAAGTGATTTGTTTGCAATGTAAAATAACCTTATTCCTCCCACACTGGCACATTTGTGTCATGTACAGTAATGATGCCAGTCACTAAAATCAAGAGGGAATTTTGAATGTCGGATGGTAAAACATTTCACCTGAGTGTCGTAAAAAGGCATTGTGATGTGCTAATTGTAGAGTTTATATAACATTTTAAAGGACTCAATAGGCACCCAGACAATGTCACTTTAGCCCTATGAAAAAACTCTCTGCAGTTTGAGAGAAATGGGCTAATCTCTGGGCTAATCTCTTCTCTTGTAGCTGTCTCTCAGACAGCCACTAGGTAGGACTTCCTGGACTTTAGTGGAGTAAAACTCTATCTGACGTTGGACATCCTCCCGCTTTGCCTGAGGACATCAACATCCTCTATGTTAATTGCAGGCAGCTCCAATGTGGGCATGCCTGAATTTGTGCGGAAGCCCATAGGAAAGCATTGATGCCGTGCTTTCCTATGGGGAAAGCTTGAATATGTTTTCGGCGCTCACTGCGCTAGCACACTAGGTCCACAGGGCTCCTCTATGAGTAGCATTAAGCTGGACCACTGGTGGAGGTGGCCATGTCTCCTCTGTGATGTCGCTGTTGAAGGAGAGCTAAGCCGGACCAAGGGTGCCTCAGAGATGGAAAGATGTGGGTTTTTCTTTTTCTTTTTTTTTTTTTAATAGCACCCAGGGTAGGGGAGACGACCGGAATACAAACCTAGCGTCAAAAGTTTGATTGGACTTGGCATATTGTTATATTTAGTTAAAATCAAATCTTAACCTAAGATAAACTTTTAAAGGAATACTCCATGCACAATTACCACCGTAGCATGCATAGGGGTTACAGTGTCAGGAGTTTTCTCCTCCAGTGTAAGTAGTCAAACCGTTACACAGCTGATGGCTCTCTTCATTGAGCTAAGCTTAGGAGTGCTGTCACTCAGGCTGGCTGAGAGCTGATTAGGAAATTAAGATTCCCAGATGGATATTTCTTCATAATGAAACAAATATTGTGTTATGCTTGGGTCTGTGTTCACTAGTGGATAACCAAAAGGCCAAACAAGCTGCTTAGAAAACCACATTCTAGAGATGGTATTCCTGCAGAGTCTTCTAGTCTTTGTTTTTTTTTTGTTTTTTTTTAAAGCAGACTTCTTATTTTCAGTCAACTGAGAAAATGAACCCTGGCAATATTGGTGTATATGTATAAAAATTAAGTACCACTCTACACCGATGGTGACATGATTTGTGCAGATATTCTTTGAAATGGAAGTGGTATAATGCACAGACCACCTCCCTGTAGTCTTCGGGCACTTCCTGCCATTTTAATATGAACTAGCTGTGCCTGTACTGGTAACCCACACTAATCTTAGGCAGAACTGAGACACATGTACAGTGCTTTGATTACCATAACAGCTATTCTTTAACCACCACACTAACTTGCTCCACTAGATCAATAAAAAACAAAACAAAACAAAAAACTACTTTGCTAAACAAACACACCATGCTAAAAATCTACCCCCCTACACCACACTACCACTATGCCTAATAACCCCCTTCCCTATACTACCTAACACTTTAACTATTTATTTTTATATATCTTTTAGATATGTCACATAATAACAACTAGATTACTTCACTGTAATTAACTCTCTAGAGAAAGTCACATCTGCAGAATCATTTGCGTGCATGATTAATTTTGCTGTTTCCTTCAGGTTAAGATTATTTACAGTCTGGCGAAAATGTAGCCGGTTTAATCCAAGTCTGATTATGGTATAGCGTTGTGCATTTTACAACTTGGTTTGTAAATATTTTTGCTAATTGTAACTCATCCATTAACCTTACTGTTTTTGTTTTTGTTTTTTTTTGTGTCTATTCTAGCCTATTACCTGGGCAGAGTTTGCACACATTCATCCTTTTGTGCCTTTGGATCAATCTCTGGGATATCAGCAACTGTTCAAAGAACTGGAGAAGGATTTGTGTGAGATAACTGGATATGACAAGATATCCTTTCAGCCAAACAGGTGACCTCCAATGTGCTGCTCTTAACGTGCTTGGGAAATGCAAGAACAATAGATTGTAGTCTTTTTGTTGCAGTTTCATATACGTGTGTGTGTGTGTGTATGTATATATATATATATATTAGTGTGATATATGTCTTGTTTCTGTGTAAATAGACCAAGCTAGGATTGGAGTGTTTTGCTGGTCAGTTCCTCTGTGTGCTGATGTGCAATGAAGCACTGGTTAATAACATAAATACTGGTGAAAATAAAACTTCATTTAAAACATCTACTAATGTGACAACATTGCCATATATTTCTATTTGTTTTTGTTTTAGTTTACAACATATGCAATCTGGTAACATTTCAGTCCACTCTCTAAAGGTTCCTTTCAAAATACAATAATACTTTTTAATATGTAAGGAAAAAGTACCTGATCTTTCCAAGTTCTCTCTTGGAAATAACAACCAAATGTCCTAATAAAATAGTAAAATCTTCTCCAGAAGTATGCTTCTAGTAAACTCAATGTGCAGATCTGGAGGTTTAACCACCCCAAATCCAACCATCGGTAATCCAGGGCAGCTGACAGGTGGATGAGGGGGCCGCATAGTGAAATATATTAACGTGTGAATGGGCACTCTTGGACTCCTGGACTTTAATAGAAGAGAAAATCTTTCTCCATTTAAAATACTTGTCTTCTCTTATATGCCGGATAACTGTGTGACTAAGTGAAAAAGCCAATCCCATTTGGCGTTGCCCAAATCTCTTGGGAATGTTAGTCCAAAAAATCTATACTTGACGATAGATGGTCATAAAGCAGAATATTACGTAATATGAAATCCATAAAGTCAGATAATGTTTGACAAATTAAAAAGTTTAGGAGAGAATGGTGAGAAGTACTGGGGATACGATATATGCTGGTTCATATTCTAATATATATATCTTTTTATCCGTATTATTAACTAGTGGTGCTCAGGGTGAATATGCTGGTCTGGCTGCAATCAAGGCTTATCTGAATGGAAGAGGGGAGCATCATAGAACTGTAAGTATTCAAAAGCAGACCAAATATCTTAGATGTTTGGGACTAAGCAGCATATCCAGAGTGGTTCTAGGCAATAACTATAATCAGCAAGTTTAAATAAACACAATTCTTTCCTATAGAGGATTTGAAGACAATGGACAACTTAATGTCAAGTGTGAGGATGTCCAGCATTGTTTCACTCTGTGATATAGCAGGAAATGCCTCTAGTGGCTGTCTGGAAGCCGCTAGAGGCAGGCTTAATCCTGCAATGTAAAATTTCAGTTTCTTTAAAACTGCAACGTTTTCAGCTGCATGGTTAAGGGGAGAGTAACACTACACCATGACCACTTCAATAAGATGAAGTGGTTTGGGTGCCTATAGTGTCTCTTTAAGGAAATATACAGTATGGTGACTGTGGCTTGAGCAACTCTTGGTATTTGTGGCTAGGGGCCAACCACACCCATCCTTACATTGTATTGCTGCCACCATTCTATACCCTTCGGCAGTGGTGAGATGATCCAGATATAGATGTCACATGCAGGGTGACACAGAAGAAAAGTACTTATTGGCCATGCCTTGTCACTGTCGTGTCCTCAGGATAACACTTTTGTTTAAAAATAAGGCCTGACTCTGTATTAGGCCAACATTTTGGTGTTTTTAGATTTCCTGTTAGGCAGTATCAGATTACACTATATTGGCGATATGATTACTGAATGTTTATTTTAAATTCACGCTCACATTTGCTGAACAAAACAGCTGGTTAGGGTTTAAATCGCTAAAGACAAATGCGTTTGTAGTGCTTTTCATACATCATGGTAACCATGGAGATTACCAGCGTACCGAGAGGCTTTTGAATAACTGTCTTTATGAATATAAATCCTCTCTCAAACATGAAACCATGTTAGTGGTAGATTTTAGCTCACTGAAGGGGAATGCTGACGTTAGCTGGCATGATGGGTCCAGTTGGACTGTGTTCAGTAGACAAGTCCAGGGGATGATGAGTCTTTTTATTCTTGCCATTGCCATCCAGCAAAATAAATATAGCAAATGTACAGCATATGAACATTATTGGTTATGTTGTATTTGGTATACGGTTCACTGTTTTAAATGCTTTTCACAAATTAATTTTGCAGGTTTGTCTAATCCCCAAATCTGCTCATGGGACAAATCCAGCAAGTGCTCAAATGGCAGGAATGAAAATCCAGCCTGTGGAAGTGGATAAAAATGGAAACATTGACCAAGTTCACTTGAAAGCTATGGTAAATATTTGGTTTTTTTCCATCTTAACCAGAAGCTTCTTAAATGGTTACAAGCCTGGTAGATGTTAAAATGTGTATAATTTTCTAGAGTATTGTGTATTGTTACATGTTTAATGAAATTTTAGATTTTTCTTTAACACCCTTAGAGGCACATTCTTTTTCAATCCCTACACCCCTAAGTGGCTTCGGACTAAATTAGATTCAATAATTTGATCTATTTTTACATGCTAACAACTGACAATGGGTATCTGTGCATGTAGAATCCCCCTCTGTGAACACTTATACTCTCTAAGAGAAGCATTTCATTGGTCAATAGTTATCAAGCTTAATTCACACATGATACTTGTTTTACTGTGGAATAACAGGCAAGTTTTAATTGCTATATGACTTTGTTTGTATTTTTGTTTTGTAAAAAAAAAATCTGACTTTTTTTAAATGTTCTTTTAATTTAGTCTATGCCACCTTTGATGCCTCTCCTCATCTTTTATACATGTTTCATGGTTTGGTTAACTAAATGAACACTTTAGTCACCAAAACCACTACAGCTTAATGTAGTGGTTCTGGTGTCTATCACGTCCCTGCAGGGTTTTCAATGTAAATGCCACTGAACGCTCCCCATAGAGGTGCGCTGATTCAGGAGATGCTGATTGGTGCAGTGCAGCTTTTTGCCGAGAATATGCAATAGCCTCCCAATGCTTTCCTATAGGAAACATTGGAAGGGCAGAGATCATTAAGATTGATCTCATCGAGGGGTAAGTAAAATCACATTTTAACACCTTTAAATTATATTTTGCAACTGAGCAATTTGCTGAAACAAATAATCTATTTTGTCCATAAAGTAATAATCCTCTTTTAGAGTTATCTTTAATGGGTTAATAATGTTTATTTTTGTTGCTGCCATTATTCTAACTTTTAATCTGGACAATAATACATTTTTCCCTATAAATGTAAATTCTTTCTGAAGCATAGCGAGCCATTTACCTGTTTTGTATCGGTCTTGTGTGTGTCTTATCTGCCCAGACTGTTGCTAGGATACCTGATTTGGTTAGAACATTAGAGGAACTGAATACTGCTTCAAGGGATGAGGCCCAGCTAATGAGACACATATTGTATATGTACAAGGCCATTAAATCACCACCTGTGACTTGAATTTAAATAACTTATCAGGAGAAAGTAGTTTGCCTGAATCTGTGATATGCAAACCTTTTTTGGAACATAGTGATGGTAGTGACAGCGTCTCCCCTCCTCCCCCTTTCCCTAAATAATAGTGCAGGGTTACTCACTGCAATCCTAACAGACTATGCTTTAGCTCTGCTACTTTGGCCCTATATTATAAATTATATTGTAAAGTGCTGCAGAATATGTATAAATACCAAAAACAATGCATTTAAAAAATTAATTTTGAATTCCTAACATTTGTCATTTTAGCTATTAAGATTCTTTCAGTCTGAGCAAGGTGAATGATGTGTTTTTATTTTTGTCATGACATGAGGTGGGTTCTTTTATTTTTAATTGTGCCAGAGTTTCTTCTATACACAGCCAATTGCTAAATATAACCTTATAAGCAGGAACATTGCATTTGTTTTCATGGTGATTGCTCCATGTTTTAAATTTGCAGTTCACAAATGCAGAATACTGCAAATTTCTGATGTAGCCGAATTATTGAATTCCATCCTGAAGGTAATGCCATTTTCATGTTAAAGGCTCACAATAGGGTCAGGAAAGCAAACATGTATTCCTGACCCTATAGTGTTAAAACCACCATCTAGCACCCCTGGCCCCTCATGCCTCCATAAATATAGCGAAATCTTACTGTATTCAAGCCTGAAGCTGTAACTCTGCATGCTGTTTGCCTAAGAAAAACAAGCAGTATGCTGACATCATCAGAAGTGGTAGCCTGATCCAATCACAATGCTTCTCCATAGGATTGGCTGAGACTGACAAGGAGGCAGATCAGGGGCAGAGTCAGCATGATTCAAACACAGCCCTGGCCAATCAGCATCTCCTCATAGAGATGAATTGAATCAATGAATATCTATGAAGAAAGTTCAGTGTCTGCATGCAGAGGGTGGAGACACTGAATGTTTGGATGCATTTTAGGCAGCCATGACCCAGGAAGGATCTCTAACAGCCATCTGAGGATTGGCCAGTGAAGTTATCACTAGGCTGTAATGTAAACACTGCATTTTCTCTGAAAAGACCGTGTTTACAGCAAAAGCCTGAAGGTAATGATTCTACTCACCAGAACAAATACAATAAGCTGTTCTCGTGACTATAGTGTCCCTTTAAATATATTTCTATTTGCTGTTACAGTAATTTTTTTTTTTTTTAACATGGGTGCATTATACTGAAAAGCCAATAAATCAAAGTGTAATGGTCTTTAACCTTGTTCAGAATGGAGTTTTGAGGTATGACATAATGAGACACAAAGAATAAAGACCCTAGAGGCTGAGTTAATTTCTAGAATTATTACTAATGTATAACTAAATGTTTGATGCCTTCTGTTTTGTTATAGGTTGATAAGCATAAGGACAATTTGGCAGCCATAATGATAACCTACCCTTCTACCAATGGTGTGTTTGAGGAGGGTATAGGAGATGTTTGTGATCTTATTCATAAAAATGGGGGCCAGGTGTATCTGGATGGAGCAAATATGAATGCACAGGTAAGATCAATTGGATTTGCCATGTTCTAGCATGGCTTGTTCTAGCATTAAAATATTGGGGTATGTATGTATGTCTCCAAGAGGTCACTGGCATTGCTCCTCTTCCCAAGTTGTGTTTCAAAGATGTTGAATACAGCAAACACATACTCCAAGCAATCCATTTATAAAGTGGAATTGAGGCAAAAATGTGGTTTTGTTGAGCTCATTTGCATATGCCTACCCAGAATCCCTACCGAGAATTCCTTACTTCAGGTGGAAGGGGTTTTCATCCACACTTTTTTTTTTAAATTTTTTTTTTTTTTCACAACAACTCTTTTGATATATATATAATATTTTTTTAATTTAAAAAAAAAAAAGTGAATTCTTTACTTTTAAGACTCTTGCATTCCAACATATCCAATGTGGAGAGAGAGAGAGAGACATTAAGAGATTAGGCCAATGATGACATCATTTGTATCCTTTCCATTGATAAAGGTGGGGGGGAGGTAGTGGTTTTGTATTATGGATATTACAGACAAGAGCTTATTACACAACTAAGTGACCATAAGACATACTACCATAAGGATGTGGATCCCGGATCCAAGTCGAGTAAAATCCTAGAACATATACTGAGGGAAGGTCTAGAAGCAGGCTTTATCAATCAGCCACTTTCTGATATTTTTGTGGGGGTTTTTTTGTTACAAAAATTTCCAAAATGTCACAAGATCTACATGCTGCCAAAGATGCAGGTGGAGAGACCTATAGTGTTTGCAATATCTTCATATAGTGTTTGCAATCTCTTCAAGTATCAATGGCCTAGTGGCTTGACTGTATCTTCAAGTGCAGGCTTTACAGACCTGTTAGGGACACCTCAGATTAAAAGAATTTAGAATACCGAGGCAGGCATTTTTCTGGTCACTGCTGACGTAACTAGCCTATGTACTGTTATCCCCCTTGAGCAGGGCTTTCCGGCGATCAGGAAAATTCTCATTAACACCATTGAGAGAGGTCAAATTTCCCATTAAATTTATGCTGAAATTGTTGTACTTGGCTCTAACTAGAAACTATTTTCGATTCCTGGAATCATTCTACATCCAACTCACTGGTACATCTACAGGGGCAGCGATGGCCACCATACGTGCCAACTCTTTGATGTACAAGTTTGAATAGGAACATATATTGTCTTTGTTTGGGTCTCATATCCAATGCTACATGCACTTTTTTTGATGACCTGTTGTTCATTTGGATAAGCACGTGAGCAGAATTTTATGATTTTTTTTTTCTATAATCAATTCTGTTCCATCTACAGTTAAACTCGCATACAAGTCAAACTGCATCCAGACTGACTTTCTGGACCTCTGGGGAAAAAAGTCAAAGGGGATAGTTTGTTATTTAGCCTCTTTTCCAAACCAATTGATAGAAACACGTTATTGCAAATACAATTTCTCATTCCCCTTAATTTTCTTAAATCTCTACCTGTATCATAATACCTAAGGGTGTTAAGGAATAATTCTGACCCAGAAATTAGGAAAGTTTAATTTATATGTCCGAAAAATGTTGGGCCAGGGGTTACAGCTCTATGCTGCTATTTGAAGCACTGCAGGAAGCCCAGAGGCAGTTCTCCAATAAGGAGGAACAGGTCTGATTTACTGTACTGTACTTTCCCGTAATTACAAATTGTTGAAAATATTTGCAAGAATTGGCAAATTGTTCAAAAGGACACTCTCTTATCAGAAATTCTTAAACATCCTCCCTGTATCCGTTATAAAATTGAAGGGACATTCTTGTACACACAGGTCAACGTAATCATAAATCTACTTTTTAGAATGTTAGATTTGCGAGATGCACTGGCTGTCACTTGCAGCCTTATTATACTCAGGAAAAATGTTTGCCACCCACACAGAGGTCAACTGTATAAATTAAAATATTGGATCACATGTACAACCACCTTCGTTGTATATAAATTGGTGTCCATGTGATTTTGTCCTGTGTGGGTAAGACAACTGGTATGCGTATGGAGTCCTCTATATGGATGGCAGGAAGGGATGGTAATATGACCCCTTCAGTAGCTATTTGGATAATAGATCATGAAACCCCTTTAATAGTCTGATTAACATGAATGCTTTAACATCACTAACATGTACCTTACCCTATCAAGGCTCATAATATATTTATAGCCAAGTACTAATGATAGAATGCATACATAATGTGAAAACAAACAAAATATATCCGGGTACTATTGGCTCTATACTGAAAATGTTACGAGATACTTTTTGGTTATATTTAGTGTTGTATATGTTGTTTATCTTTCTTGCCACCTTGTGGTGATTAACTTTACTTACTCGTGGTCTCGTCGGCAACTGTTCTGTATATATTTATCTGTAGCTCTAGCCTGTTACCAGTTTTCATCCTGGTTTAATTTTTTTCCCCTCAGGGCTTTGAGTGTGGGGAAGGTTGGGATGTTATGGATTCTTATGTATTAACATCAACACTTTTATTTCTTCTCATTTCTTTTTTTATCGTAGGAATTGCAGCATTACTTTACTAACCTTGTGTGTTGCAATCTGCTGTTTTTTTGTTTGTTTTTGTTTTTCTCTGCCTTTTTATCTATGTACTCTTTCACTTTTTGTCTTTCACGTGTTTTGGGCTTTGTCTCATTTATAGAAGATTAGTAATGCAAAGGATAACTGATAACCAAAGCCTCACTCTCACGGTTATCCTCGTTCTAAGGGGCGGGGGTAATTAGGTTTTCACTTTTGAAATCACTGGTTTCCTGATGAAACGTTGACGTCTATGTGATATTCTCCTTGGTATGATATAAAACAGTTAACATTTTTATTTTATTTTTACCATGTATTCCATTTTGCAGTGTAACTTAATGTGTGTAACTTTATTTGAGATGTATATGTTGGTGTCAAATTTTGAAAAGGGTGAGCTTTCTTACTGCTGTTAATCCAAAACACAAGAATCACCCAATCTGAAGTGTTTTCTAATTTGGCCACAATATTGGGAAACCTCTCTTTTGGCACCAAAATAGCAACCAAATTTCTCAATGTATCAGAAAGCTGTTACCTCACATATGAAAGATATATCCTTGAATGGTCTGTTTGTTTGTTTTTATTTTGTTTTAGTTTTTTGTTTTTTACAAAAATTCTGTCGAATATAATAAAATACAAGCTGTTTAGGTAGACCTTTCCATACTTTGCAGGCTAACTTTGTTAATATTGACACAGGTTGGCTTATGTCGCCCTGGTGATTATGGCTCTGATGTATCTCACTTAAACCTTCACAAGACATTTTGTATTCCCCATGGAGGTGGAGGTCCTGGTATGGGGCCAATAGGAGTGTAAGTAAAAACATAATTTTTAAAATATTTTTTTTGTGGCCTTCATGTTTGGAGAGTTTGGCCCTCCAGCTTTAAGTACACATTTTCCACCAACTTTGTGTTAATAAAGCAAATCGGAGATGTGGTCAATTAGTTTCTCTACTCTAGATCACGGTTTCAGCTAAAACATGAAGCATTCACTAAATAAGTTTGATTTTTTTTTTTTTTTTTTGTATCCTGTGCTTACAGTTTTACTTGATTTACTTTCTAGGAAAAGGCACCTTGCCCCATATCTGCCAAGCCATCCTGTAATTGCCTTGCCTCAAGATATTGATGCACGGTCATTGGGTACAATAAGTGCTGCGCCATGGGGATCCAGTGCTATCCTTCCAATATCGTGGGCATACATTAAGGTGTGGTGTACTAAATGTAGCAAAAACCAATATGCTGACTTGTTGATTTATTTGAATTCAAACCTCTTCACTTCAATATAATTTTTCCTTATCTAGATGATGGGTGCAAAGGGACTCAAACATGCTACAGAGGTTGCCATATTGAATGCCAATTATATGGCCAAGAGACTGGAAAACCACTACAAAATTTTATTTAAAGGCTCTAAAGGCAAGTCTTGCATCTATAGCAAACCATTGTGCTCCCTAGCTTGTTTTTAGTATATACAGGGGCTCAGTAACAGTTTAAAAGGGCATGCAGTAGAATTAAAAAAAAATAAAAAAATCATGACAACCTTTTTACTGTCTTTCTTCTTCCTATATTTGGCCTAGTGTGGATTTGTATTACCTACACATTTTATTTTATTCATTTTTACATTTTTGATTTATTTGTAATTCCTAAAATTGTCATGTCTAAATGGGGGGGGGAAAAAACAACTTATTTTATATCTCCATTGTTTCAGGATTTGTGGCTCATGAATTCATTATTGACACAAGACCTTTTAAGAAATCTGCAAACATTGAGGCTGTAGATATTGCCAAGAGGTTACAAGACTATGGTATGTTAGACTGTTTCCTTGATAATACAGATATGGACAACAAAATATGGGAATTATCTGTTCCCCAATAAAAGATATGGTCTTCACAAAACTTATGACTGTTAATTGAATCTTAAATAGTCAGTTTGACTACTGAATGATTACCTGCCATTTAGTTTAGGAGTTACCTTGCAGGATTGATTTTTTTTTTTGTAGAGTAGCTAGGGGAGAACACTTGTGGTTAAAAAAAAATCAAGAAATCCTTCAGCACCTTTGTCAATGTGTCCCAGCTCTGCCAATCCCTATTATGCGTTTCATTATTTCAAGTGATAATTACAGCATAAAAGTAAATGTTCTGACTTCTAAAGTGTTTGTTGGAATGGAAGTTAAGACCACCCTCCCTCCATGCTGGGCTTTACTTCAAAATTTCTGGTAGGAATGTCAAAGCTGTTGTTTCAGTTTTCAATTGAAGGTATACTTTTAAAATATCGCTACATTTCAAATCCAATACATAATTCAATTAAAATGGATAATTCACATCACCATATGTAATCACAGATTTGTTATGGTTTTATCCCCCTTGTAGGCTTCCATGCACCCACTATGTCATGGCCGGTGTCAGGAACACTGATGATTGAACCGACAGAGTCTGAGGATAAGGCAGAACTAGACCGCTTCTGTGATGCCATGATCAACATAAGGCAAGAAATTGCTGAAGTTGAGGGCGGTAGAATGGACTCCAGAATTAATCCACTAAAGGTAACAAACAAGTGATTTAATATGGTGGGAGAATTGAGAGGATTGCTGTTACATGAAGTCTTGTCTTTCAAAATAAACTAGCCCTAGTTGCCAGTCTCATACGTTTCTCTTAAATATTAGATGGATGTGATCAGGTATGAGCCAAGATTAGCATGCACTGCAGCTCTTCCCAGAGACCTTCCTGAGTTGTACGATTTGCCAATTTTTAAATCTCCAATTTTGAAAAAAATAAATTTTCTATATATGATATTGGTGTCATTAATAACTTTCTTAATAGTTAGGACTACAGCTGGATAATAAAGGAGTCAATATTCTAAAAGCTAAAGGTAGTGTGAAAATTTTTATATATTTTTTTTAAATGGTACATTCAAGATTTGGAAGTTTGAACTCAAACTCAGTGGGGAAAAAAGAGTGTCACATAAACAAATTAAGAGATTTATAAAAGTGTTCTGAAAAGTCTTTTGAGCCTTTCAGCAATCTGTTCCAATAAAAAAAACAAAAAAAAAAACTGTAAAAGGTAGAAAGTTTTTTTTTTTTTCTTTCACCGCTACAAATATTTCCACTAAGGATGTGACTATTCTGCCGGAATTTCTACACAAAAGTTGTGTAGGAGAACATAACCAAGTAGAATGCTGTTCTGGTTCAAAAAGTGTACCTGTATAATAAATAGAATGTCTTATCAGAATTGATATTTCACACTAGGAATACTTCACTTAACCTGCAGATTATTCTGACTATGTTATAGAATCAGGGAAGATTTACCATAGCTCCTCCTGAATGCAAAACCAAAATTCTATTTGAATCTTATAGCTCAAGTTTACTAATGCTTATCTTATAAGGTATAGTCTGGATCATCATGCTTACCACTTAATGGGTTTACAATAGGCATGTGCATGGGGAAAATTTTCAGTTTGGTTCAGAATTTCGAAATTTCGGGACTTTGGCACTTCTCTTGCAGCCGCTTAGTATATAACTCTCTAATTCCCACGGTATTAGGGAGTTATCTACCAAAAGGCTGAAAGACCTAAATTGGTTGTTCAGCCAAATTTACTAATACTAAGTAAAAATTACTTAGTATTAGCAAATTTTGCACCTACTCGCGGTATGTCTATTAAACAGTGAGTAGTCTGTGACTGCTCACTGTTTAAAAAAAAAAAAAGGCGATGCGCGAGTGGGGGCTTTTAAACTAAAGGGGACCTATTGCCCTGGCCCCCACCCCTGAGCGGCGGGTGGGGGCCTTAAAGTAAAATAATGGGGGGACACCTATTGTCCTTCCCCACCCCTGAGCGGCGGTTGGGGGCCCTAAATTATAATAGTGGGGGGGACCTAATGTCCTCACCCCTGGCCCCCACCCCTGAGCGGTGGGTGGGTGCCCTAAATTATAATAAGGGGGAGGGACCTAATGTCCTCCCCTTAACCCTCACCCCTGAGCGGTGGGGGCCCTAAATTAGAATAGGGGGGACCTAATGTCCTCCCCCCTGAGCGGTGGGTGGGGGCCCTAAATACTAATAAGGGGGGACCTTATGTCCTCCCCCCTGGCCCCCCTGTGGGGGCCCTAAATACTAATAAGTACCTGTAAAAAAAAAAAAACTTAGCATTTGATGTTTTTGTTCTTCTAAAATCTTTTTTTCAGCCCCCAAAAAGGCCAAATAAAAAATCCATAAAAAAAAAAAAATCCTTCACCCATGGAGGGCTCTGCGCAGACTGAGCTCTGCAGGGCGGGGCTAGGCCCTGCAATTAGGCTCAGAGCACTCTGATTGGTTGGTTTAAGCCATCCCATCAGAGTGCTCTGACTGGTAAATGAAGAGACTGACAGGTAAGTCTCTACATATACCTGTCACAGCACTCTGGATTTCAAGCCAACCAATCAATCCGAGTGCTCTGTGTCATTTTACACAGCGTGGGAAAGTTCTTTGGAATTTTACCACGCTGTGTAACTTGACTCATAACTCTCTGGTTACTTTCAATCCACCAATTTTGTATACAGTGTAACCTTCTTCCACTGGGTAAGTATATTAGTTCTTAGGCAATACTGTACTTCAGAACTTCGACATTTCGGCAATTCATCTATTCGGAAGTACCCGAACGTCCGAATTCACATTCGGACTAAAACGAATTGCACATGTCTAGTTTACAAGCTTCACCATGTTCTTTAGTAAAACTTGCCAAACAGAACCTAATATATTATATTGTTTACTAGTTGCTTACCAACTTTAATCTGTTGCTGGTCATGCACATTTGTATTTTGTTTCCACTACTTCAATGATCATAGAACAGGGAAACTTATTAATTTCAATGTAAATATTATTATTTTTTTTCAGATGTCTCCACACACCTTGAATTGCATTGCATCGTCTAACTGGGATCGTCCTTATTCAAGAGAAATGGCAGCCTTTCCCATGGTATGTTTTAATAACAGACATGTTGGTTTCATGGGTTTTGCTCTTGTACACCGTTTGGATATTAATAGTATGCAATATATCTTTCTTCCAGCCGTTCGTCAAACCTGAGAACAAATTCTGGCCAACGATAGCTCGAATAGATGATATTTACGGAGACCAGCACTTGGTATGCACCTGTCCCCCAATGGATGTCTATGAATCGCCATATACGGAACAAAAGAGAGCTTCCTCTTAGTGCTCAGATTCCTTGTTTGCTTTCTACATTACTGCTGCAATCTAGTCGTCAACAACACAACTTTCTCTTTCAGAAGGCAATTTTTATTGTGTGTATTTATTACCTTTTTTATTTTTTCTCTCCTCAATTTGGCTGTATACTGTTAATTTTGAATCGCTGCTAAGCAATTTTGTGCGTACAATCATTTCATGGGATGGAAGCCGATGAACTGATCGGTTTTTGTAGTGCCTCTGGATTATTTGGTACACCTTCCATTCATTGAGTGTGCTTTTTTATGTTGTAGTTTTGACATGTATAAACTTTTTATGTTTTACACTAAGATTTAAACTAGTTACTTAACAGGATAAACAAGCTATTCTAAAAACAATACTTAACACAGCTGGGATGATTCAAAAATCTGAAAAGTTTGGATGTATGTGGTTTGTTTATTTGAAATTTTTCCCTGTGTATATACGTTTTGAACAAATACTCTCATTATGAATAAATGGTAGGTATTATACTATGATACATGTTTACATAGTGCATTATACCAGAGGAACCCTGATGTGTTACTAATTTTCCTCTGTTATGGATGCACATTGCCATCGTTTTAAATTACTTTGTATTTTTAACTGTTCATTTTAGCATTCCAATAAAAGACCATTTCTGTTTTAAGCAATGTCTCCTGTTGAATGACTTGGTGGTAGAAATCTAATAATGCGACTGTATAAAAAATAGTGTAGTTGAACCAAGCTAAGCTTTCACACAAGTACCAGAAATTGTACCAGTTGGTGTGACGCCAGTCATCTTTAAGATTTAGATTTTGTTGGGGAGGAGGAGGCGAAGTGATCTTCGGGTAACCGGCAGGAAGAGAGCACCTTGCATAGCGCTACCCTCCTGCCAGTCACTGACTGTAGCATGGCTGAGTGGATGGACTGTGACCCACCCCGTCTGACAGGAAATGCAACAAACTGCTTCCTGGCAGACCGGGACAGCAAACCGGATCCTCTGTCGCGGACCGCCAACTCAACCATGCTATATGGAGGGAGATGAAGGGGGCACAATGAAAGGTACAGGAGGGGGGGACACAACAATAAGAGTAACAGGAGGGGAAAGGGGACAATAAGAGGTTACAGGATTAGAGGGGGGATAAGAAAAGGTTCGGGGGGTGGCAATATGAGGGGGACATTGAAAGGTGCTGAGGTCACTGAGAAACTCAGAAGGACTGAGTGGGGACAAAGAGGGGTGGGCAAAAAGACACACAGTGGGGATGAGGGGGGACATATAAACAAAGGAGCTGGGTGTAAGACAGACAAGGGGGCTGGGGGCAGTAAAAGATACAACCCACTCGTGTAAGAGAGACACAAGGATAAAATACAGCAAAGGGAGTGTAAGACACACAAAGGAGAAAAAGATGGTAAGATATTCGAAAGACAGGATATAAACACTAAAGGGGTAAGGCATTCAAAATGAGGGTTACATGACACACATGTGAAGATGCATTCTTGTTTAGTCAAAATTCCTTGCACCGGCCCTGGTAAATTGAATGCAGCGTGTGTGTTTGTGTAAGAATGTAGTGTGTGTAGATGACGCTCTATCACGATCTAACTTTCAGGTGTTCTTCCAAATCCACCCATCTGCAGAACCTCACTCCAGGGTACCACCGGATTCAAAGATGTCACAATGGACTAAACTTAGTGCTGTCCCAAAGAAAAATTCTGGCACTAGCTGGGTTGTCCTCTAAAACCTACCTTAGAGCATTTAATATATTTAGGAAGTTTGATTTTCAAATAATAAATATGTTTGCTATTGATTCTCTGGTCGCGTTTACAACCTTTTGCCATTTAGTTTATAACACTATCAAATTATATTTGACAGGAATTAAACATCATATGCTAACCACTTTTCCTAACAAACCTTTCTTGTTATCATACCCTATAAAAATTGTTTTAAAAAGCATTCTTAAGTTAAAAACAGATTCCTCCTAAAAGACTACCTATTGACAGCAGCAAGTTTCGGGCGATTTCAGATAAATTTAGGACCTAAAGGAGGCCAACGCAGAACTGCGTATCTCCATCACTGCGGAGCACCACTACCTCAGGGAGGACATCCAGGGCCTTCATACCAAGGTATCTCAACTAGAAGCGGACTGTGACCACTTATCAGCTCAGTCTGCCAATACAGATGCCCTGCGACACCATGCGGCACAGATGAGACAACTGGCCCTACACACGCAGGACCTGGACAACAGTGGATGGAGACAAAATATCAGGGTGCGGGGTATCCCTGAAGAACTGGACCAACCGACACCAATACAGGACACCCTCAGGGAACTATTCAATAAGATCCTGGGCCGCCCCGTAGCCACCAACATTGAATTTATCAGGGTGCACCAGGCATTGAGGCCTAGGGACATCCTACGCAAAGTACGCGGCACCGAGAGTCATGCTCAACAGAGTGGACTTACAACTTTACCGGGACCTATCACTGGCTACTTTGGCCTACTGTATAGCGATGAGACAGCTCACCAGAACTCTAGCGGTCCCCATATGGATAGGCCTTGGCCCTCGGGAGGGAGATGAGGGAGTCAGCGGGAGGGCTCTTAGACCTGACTGGGCCTTACCGCTGGGGCCCGTGGCAATTTGTGATTACCTAGCCGAGCAGGTGACCGGCGGGGCCCAATCTTTTAATGGGACCACAGTGCACATGCAACTCTTGAAGCAGCTAAGCAGAGCGTACACATGGGGCCAGCTCGTCTGACTACGGTCCTTAGGGCCTATCCACACCATGTTGATAGAGGCCTTCCCCCGCTTATACCCTACATGTGCCTAGTTCACGACTAAGGTAGTGGGAAACACACAAGAGGGGGCCTGGGAAACACAGGAAGACATCCGGGGGAATACAGACTCGAACACGGTTGAAGGTACACACACACCACCTATGGGGGAACCAGGGCGGCGAGACCTCCAATTGCTGACAATGTTTTTTTTTACGTTTTAGAGTTTAATTTCACTCTCTGCTGTTTGTTATGGTGTGAATGCATGCATTTATCACAGGTAAACACAACTGGCTTGAGAAGCACATTACTGGGGCCCGTGGGCTCCCCACACTGGCGAGGATTACACAACTCTAACAGGTAGAGACGCTTAGGGGAACTGCACTGCTCTGCCAGACCAAGACCGAGGTATATTGCAACGGTTAGCAGTCGCCCCTGACCGAACGCGCATGGGAACCGGGAAGACTGGCTTCACCCGGGGGACCCAGGCCTCCTTCCATATCTCTACAGGACACCGCAAACTTAGATAGGTGAGCGGGACCCAAGGACTACGGGCGACACCGCTCCCCGACACTGATTCCTACACGCCACTTAAACGTGACGTGCCTTCCCTATAGAAACTTAGCACTATTCCATCTCTCGTTATCCTTTTTTAATTTACAAAGTACTCTAATATGATTGGCATTTATATAGTGACAACTTATTCCACAGCGCTTTACAAAACTATAAATGGGGAAATTTTACAACAAACCAGACTATTTAAAAATTATATTACAGAAACAATAGGATGATGAGGATCCTGTTCAAAACTGCTTACAATCTAGAGATTGACATAGCTATTGTTAAACTGTTCATCACTCTGTGTCCCCTAGACTCCCATGCCTCCAACAAGGTACTTCCTGTGTGAGAGGCTGTTAGTGGGCAGATGGGAAGTGATCCCTTCCACTTCCTGTCCAGCCTCACACACACACACACAGCACTGAGTCTTATACCCTCTCTAACTGTTCCTGCAGCTTTGCTATCAAGGTTCACTTTACTACAGAGGAAGATCTCTCCCCACCGCCCTATTTTAAACCCAAAAAGGCGCATTATAAAAGTGCTTAAAACAGGCTTCCCACACTGGACAGGTGCCTACTCTGCCTAATGGGAAATATGGCCCTGATAGTAAAAAATTTTCTATAGGGGCGTGGCCGAGCTGCCGACAGCAATGGAAGCTTAAACCGGAGCTCCTCACTATCCCCAGCACCTCTGAAAGCAGCCAAAGCCGACCATGGGGAAGAACTCCAGAGCGGCAAGCACCCCCAGGCAATCAGGCTCACGTCAGGCTCAAATAACTGCCTCCATGCAGCAGTATCTGGCAACACCAACAGCACTAACCTCCCACGTGGCCTCAGAGGGCTGCAACATGTCGGACCCCTCCACGCCGACCTCACCGGTCTCCAGCAGAGGGGAAATCCCTTCATCTCCTCCACTTGGGGAACCCTAATAAGAGCATTGCCCACAAAAGAAGATCTGTTGACTGCAAACACAGCACTGCAAACCTCCATTAGAGCAGACATACAGCTCATAAGGGCAGATATACAGGGCCTCACTGACCGCATGGCAAGAATGGAAGCTGACCATGACAACCTGGTGACAGCTCAAGCAGCCCAACAGCCACATTAGACTGCCAGGCCACACAGCTACAACAGATGGCTCTACACCTAGAAAATCTGGTCCACAGGGGACGTCGCCAAAACCTCCGCGGCTTGCCAGAGCAAGAAGACTCCCCAGAACACCTGGCAACGATATTTAACGGCATCTTGAAGAGAGCGGAGGGATCAGTCATTGAATTCACACGTGCACACAGGGCTCTCTGGCCGAAGGGACCACCTGACAGCCCCCCCAGAGATGTTATCTGCTGCCTCTCCAGCTATACCCTGAAAGAGGAAATCTTGCAAGTGGCACGCGAGAGTGGAGACATCAGATTTCACCAACATACTCTGCAACTGTACCCCGATCTCAGTCCGGCCACACTAGGATACAGGAGAATGCTGAGACCGCTGACACGTGTCCTGATCTCGCAGAAAATGCTCTCTTCATACCTGAAGGCCCTAGACCGATACGGGACATCGAAATCTCTAACCTTCTGCAACTCCCACCAATCAACATGCGCTGGCCTTATCCGCTGGACTTCTATAAACCACCTCCACCACCCCAGATTGACCCGGCGCACGCACAGCGAAGGAACAGATCCAGACAGAAATCCACAAGACCAGCAGGCACCTCACGCTGACCGTGCAGACAACAAGACTACAGACCCCCAAAAGGACAGTGAACTCTAATGAGGGTCCTTGCCCTGATTCTTCGGGTGGTAATATAACTTGCACTATGGTGGGAGGGGGAGAAACTTTACAAGTATGATGTACTAGGCATACTCTATCACTGTATTTTGTCCCGACACACCTACATGCAACCGGTACTCTTACTATGACACACCTTAGGACAAACTGGGACCCCCTAAAAAGATAACGTAAAATAATAACCAGACAACACATATAGGAGGAGACAAGTGAGACAAACCCTCTACATCCGCATTCTAAGCTGGAACTGACCCACAGGTACACATAGATGACGGGGACAACCCTGAAAAACACGAGACTGGACGACTTATACATACAGAGACAACGGGGTTTGGTAGGGGAGGGATCTAGACATGGAAGACCTGTCCACTACCCTTTACTGCTCACATACCGATAGTCATACGCCCTCTGTATCTTCTTCCCTGTGTTCTTTACTAATGGTTACAGATTGCACTGTTCGCACATTGTAAACCGGCTTAGGATAATATAAGCAAAACGGGGAAAGGGGATTGTTTGATGTGTATTGAATTTTTTTCTGTTTGTCTAAACGTAATTATTGTTGTTCTCCAATTATACACTGTTTTATACCTTACATGTAAACGCCACTTGGCCGTGGTACCCCATTGGTTGAGGTGTCACTATAGCGAGGGGGCGGCCCCTGGTTCTCGACTGGAGTGGACACCGGACCCCCTCAGACACCCTATACCTTACCAAACACCGATTCACACTAATCAAAGTTGACCTCTTTTTACGGAGGAATGTGTGTAACAAGGTGCTTTACAAAGTGCAAGTGATTTTCAGGCTGCTCTATACACTTGTGTGGAAATATCCTCTATCCCACTTGACAAAATAATAGATTTAAGTACGGTGTAAGTAACAGATCTACACCTATAAGTGGAGCGCTCAAACTTATATATTGCTTACCAAGCGTTGTTTCATATCATGGTACATGTAAAAGAATACAGAAGAATACAATATAGTGCAGAAATAGTGGTATAAGCTTGTACTGGTACACTCACTGGTACACTCACATTCCAAGGAGCCTGTATATGGAAACACTGGCTCCGTATCAAAGCTTGTGTGCTTATAATGGTAGCACCACCCTTCTACTTCGGTGTGGAGTAATTCTCAAAAACAAAAACAGAGGGAAAGCGTACCAATGTGTAGATATTGTTCATGAAAGCACACACACACACACATATATATATATATATAAATAAATGTGGTGCTCACCTGGTCCTGAGCCTATGGTTCACACTGCTCACACTCCACTCAGTGGAGACTGGGCCCTCCCTGCGCGGGGACCTGACAGATTTACCCGACCCAATTTCCACGCCCAAATTCGGGATCCAATATACGCCTTTAACACCCCCTCTCTCCTATCCCCGTAAGATGCTCTCCCCCGCAACGACACTAAAGTCTATCTGCCCTCGTTTCACGCACATCCTACGCTACTAGCTATAGCGGCGAAATGGCAACTACCCAGACCTATCGAATGGCACCCATCAACCTCCTATCCATAAACGCTAAAGGCCTTAATATACCAGAAACACGATCCCAAGCCCTAAACCACTTCCATAGCCTTAAATCACACATAGTGTTCATCCAAGAGACACACTTCTGGGAAGGACACGCTCCCAAACTGACGAATAACAGTTACACACAATGCTTCACGAGTAACAACCCAGACGGGAAATCCAAGGGCACTGCTATCTTGCTACATAAATCTCTCCAATTCCAACACAAAGAAACTCTGGTAGATAAAGGAGGGAGATATGTATGTGTTAAGGGAACGGTGCTAGCCAAGCCTTACACACTGCTCAACTTATATGTACCCAACACCAAACAAGCCCGATTTATAAAATCAACCCTACAAACGATTGAGGGATTCACTGAAGGGTGCCTCATTGTTGGGTGGGGGGGGATCTTAATGTTGCTCTACGCCCACGACAAGACACATCTACAGGAACCTCCGCAGTGCCCACACACATCTTACAAACCATAAACAATTTTCTACGAGACCACAGACTAGTGGACTGCTGGAGGGCCACACATCCCGAAGACAAGGACTTTACTTTCTTCTCAACCCCTAACCAATCATACTCCCGCCTAGATTATTTCTTCCTCCCCCACTATTATCTAACAGACTTACAGACCATCCGCATAGGCACCACAACGTGGTCCGACCATGCCCCACTAATGATGACCCTGTTATCCCCACTGTATAGGCCCACAATGATGAACTGGAGACTCAATTAATCCCTGACAGATCCGCTGACTCTCCAAGAGATTCGTACCTCCCTCACAGCATACTTTAAAGAAAACGATAGAGAAGAAACTACACCTATGTGCGTCTGGGAGGCCCACAAATGTGTCATAAGAGGGGCACTAATAGTAAAAGGCTCCGCGATTAAAAGAGAACGAAAGGCACGTCTAACACACCTTTTACAGGAAATCCACCAAGTTGAGGGGACCCACAAACAGACGGGGCGACCTGATGACCGGCGCAAACTGACGACCTTACGTAGAGAACTCTCGACACAGCTCAATTACTCCTACCAGAAAATGGTCACACAAATGAAAACATTCTTCTTCGTTAACGCAGACAAATGCGGGTCCTTACTGGCCCGAATGACAGCCAAAAGATGAGCGAACGCATACATACCCAAAATCAGAGACAAACATAACAGACGGAAACTCTTGCCCACAGATATAGCAGCAGTCCTTCATGGATATTACTCTGACTTATACTCATTATCCACACAACATGCAACCCCACCCAGATGTAGACACGAGACTGATTAAGTAATACCTAGACCGTCACCTAGATAAACGCCTGACTGAGTTAAACGAGCCCCTCACAACAGAAGAACTAGCCTTATCCTTGAAACTCGCAAAGACAGGGAAAAGCCCAGGACCAGATGGCCCGTCTGTGGGCTACTATAAAAAATACGCAGACATACTCACACCACAATTTTTGAAAGCATACAACCCTCTCAGGAAAGGAAGCACCATGACGCAAGACACTAGCAGCCAATATTTCACTGATCCCAAAAGAGGGCAAGGACGCAGAACAATGCACTAACTACAGGCACTAAACTGTGATCTGAAATTATTTACCAAAATACTGTCCATGAGACTCCAACACCACCTACCGGGTCTGATACATGGAGATCAAGCGGGATTTGTTCCAAGAAGGGAAGCAAGGGACAATACTATACGAGCCCTAGCGATCCTACACCACTCTACCTTGACCTCAGAGGGCCTCTGCCTGTTGTCTACGGACGCAGAGAAGGCCTTCGACAGAGTAAACTGGGACTACTTGTTTGCTGTCCTGCAAAAGATAGGGATGGGCCAGTATATCATGAACTGGATCAAGTCCCTGTACTCCTGCCCCACAGTCAGACTTTGTGTTAACGGAACACTCACAGACCCCTTCCCAATCAGAAACAGCACTAGACAGGGCTGCCCACTATCTCCCTTGCTCTTCGTCTTTGCCCTCAAACCCTTCCTCCAAGCGATCAGACAGAACCCTAACATACAGGGGATGAGAATAGGCAAAACGGTGGCCTATGCGGACAACCTCTTATTTTTCGTGACAAACCCGGACTGCTCACTTAGACATATGACAGAATTTGACACATGACAGAATTTGACACATATGGATCACTTTCAAATTTCAAAATAAATTACTCAAAATCTACAATACTTAATATGTCCTTCCCGAAAGAATAGGTCATACATACTCAATGCCTCTTTGCCTTCAAATGGACAGACTCAGCTTGAAATACCTAGGGATCAAAATGAACCTCCTACCGCGGGTGCTATACCTGTTTCAAACCATACCGATCACAATCCCCAAAAATGTCTTCGCTACATTGTGCAAGCTGATCCTGAGGTTCATCTGGCGCAATACCAAAGCCCTTATACGACATAACATCCTCACACTGCCGAAGTCAGAGGGAAGCCTGGCTCTCCCCAACTTTAAGCTGTACTATCAAGCCACACACATGCAAAGGATAGTGGAATGGTCCAAACAGGGTGTCACCAACTGTGGAAAGAAATAGAAGCCACACAAGTAGGCAAGCCCATAACGGTCATACCCTGGCTGGTACCAAACTTGTAGCCCGACACCCACTCGTTAAGGCCACCATCACGGTATGGCACACTCAGGCCCCAAAACTGGCCCTTTCATCATTCTCGGCACCCCTGTAGCTGCTGGTCCACAACCCAGCCTTTCCTCCAGGCCTAGAACCAAAGTCATTCCAGAGGATGACAGGCACAGACATGCCCCAAGCACGACACCTGTTCACAGAGGGACGGATCAAACCCCTGACCAAGATAACCAACACAAACACCCCAAATGTTATGCTCTGCTTCAGATATAAACAGCTGACAGACTTCCTCACCTCTCTTTCACAGAAACCCCTCCTGACAAGAGACCTAACTCCACTAGAGGTGATCTGCACAGACAAAGACCCAATAAACACGGCATATCAACCTTATACATTATGCTCCTCACACAGCAGAATACACCAACACCTCACTTTATGGGGAAATGGGAAGAAGCCCTAGGGGGAAACACTAACTACCATACAATGGCACAATATCTGTGACCTCACACTACATTGCGCAGTGTCCAGTAAGATACAAGAAACTGCGTATAAATTGCTAACATACTGGTATAGGACTCCCCAGTCACTACACGCAATGATACCAACCATCAATAACAGCTGTTGGAGGTGCAGAGGAGAGGTGGGCACCCTACTTCACCTATGGTGGGAGTGCCCCAAAATAAAACCATTTTGGGAAAAAGTCTACAGTATCATACAAAGGTTTTCAGATGGCCCACCCCCCTTCAAACCGGCACCAATTCTCTTACATCACACTAAAACCCGCACATCCACATACAAAAACTCACTGACAATACGAATGTTGTTAAAGGGCTGGTGCCTCTATTCTGGAAGAAAGACATAGCCCCACCAATGGAACTGTGGTTCCAACAAATGGAAGAACTCCGTGCTATGGAATACATAATATTCCGCGGCAGCGAGAAACCCCAAACCTACCCGAATGGATTCTGTCCACAGACTCAGCCGATTTCAAATCACTTTTACAGTAAGACACTTCTGACACTTCTAGTAGAGACCGAGAAGCACGTTAACATAAGCACAACACAAATCACTTGCCTTCTACTTACCTTAATACCCTCCTTCTCCCCCCCCCTCTTTAGAAACTCACCGACTCCCTAGGCCCCCGCGCAAGGAGCCCCTTATTAAGACGAACCGATAAGATAGTGACCACTGATGACTGGGACAACATACCATCCACAGGGTGGGAGAGACACATACCGACATCACGAAGATAAGTGCAATGGGGTAACAACCTCACACAGACACTGTTATTGAATCATTGGCTTTGTTTGATGTTAAACAGTAACTGCAACTGACTAGTAACCACCTGACAACTAATAATCCAACAACAATGGAGACCTGCGTGTCTCACAAGTTACCTAAATGTTTAAGGAACCTGCGAGTTCCATGGTTTTACGCTTCATTGACACAGACCTTCGAGTCGTGTATTCCACCGTTCTATGTCATGCTTGATTAAAAAAATAACAGTATGATGGGAAAGTTTCTATAATTACCCCCTACCTTCAGATTCTCATCTACCTGCTGAACTCTGATGTCTCATAAAATCCTATGGTGTATGTGTTCATGGGATATGGAATTCATCCCCCAGCAGCAGTTCTACTCATTACATAGGAGGAAAAGAACTGCCCAGTAAACATTCAGCTGTTATCCTCTTTTTCAGCAGTTGTGCTCATCCTGTATTAACAGCACATTTAACATTATTTTGAATGGGCCTGTGCATAGCTTTTGCCAGAGCACACTTCACAAGCACAGCTATGGATCAGGTTCTTTTTAAGAGCAGGAAAAGGGAGATGGAATTTATGTTAATTGGTCTAGACCAGTGACGGCAAACATTTTTGAGCCAGAGTGCCCAAACCGCAATACAAACCAACTTTTTTCCCTCAAAGTGCCAACACTGCAATTAAACCTGAATACTGAGGTCTAAGTTTAGGGAAAAAAACCCTCATACAGTTGTCCCAACTAATTAACATCTTTTGTTTTAAAAGAAAAACACAACAGAGAGTTCAATGATACAAACAGTTTTTTTATTTAAAAAAAAACATATTCTAGTAAATTAAAACACACTAGTGTTTGGTGGTGCTCCACCGGCAGTTTGGATGCATCTTGCATGCAGCTTTGGCACAGTTTACATCAGAATTGCATCTGGTTTTGGTGCAGCTTTGTATGTATGTCAATGGACATGCATTTTTCATCAGGTTTCTGTCCGTCCAGCTGCACCAAAACTGCATGTGAACTGTGCCAAAGATGTGTACAAGGAGATACTCAACTTGTAATATGAGTACATGCCAGACAAATAGAAGGAAAGACTTACTCTGGGTCCTTTTTCTGCTTCTACAGTTACAGTAAATGTCAACCTGAATAAATAAACAAGGAAAACTAAACTTGCTTAACACACTTTAAACAACTCCTAAATTAGTGTCTTGGACACAAACACTGCATTAGTAAAAGTTTGCAGTTGGCATGCTTTGCACAATTAATGTGATTTTTGCGGCTGTATACATGCTGCACATTTGTCAAACCTTGGTTTATACTGTTAATTTGAGAGCAACACATGCAGCACTCAATTCATCTGTTAGTCTGTTTCTAGTATCAGATTTGATATAATTCAATGCTGAAAACAGCTGCTCACTAGCAGAAGATGACCCAAACAACGGAAGAAGAGCAATTCCAAGTGCTTTCATTGACTTAAAATTATTCGGCAGAAAATTCCACACTTTAAGGATTTCATTTTCAGAACTACCAACTGTGCTGTCCTTTGTCATCCCCTCAAGTGTGGCAGGCAGGGCATAGAATTATTTTTTCTAGATAGAGCTTTCTTGAAATTCTAATAGCTCAGTTTCCAGATTTCCTAAATCTAACCAGTGTAAGCAGGACATATCAAGCTCTTCATATTTGGCTTTATCTGGAGAAGTAAGAAAATACAGGGTTGTCTCCATTTTCTGGAATTGCAAGAATCTGTTACTAAAATTCTTAGCAGCTGCCACAATGCTAGAAAGCACCTTGTAGATTTCCTGATGGCTTGTAGGATTGCCCATAAATATTGTACAATTTTTCCATATGTATTTTTAGATTTGGAAAGTATTTCAGCTGCCCACTTTCAAGGTCTTTCAAAAACCTGCAGATTTCTCTCAAATTTTCTGATATCACAAAACATCCTTTCTGCTGTTTTCCCTACACCTGGCAGGTTTTCGTTCAGTACATTGAAGTGTGCTGAAAAATCTGTAAAAAAAAAAAAAAAAAGTTGGTAAGCCAGGCCGTATCAGTGAGCTAAAGATATTCTTGCCCCTTTTTATTCAGAAACAGCCTAATTTCATCCAAACAAGCCACAAATCTCTCCAGAACTCGTCCTTTGCTCAGCCACCGGACATTATTGTACATACTGTATTATACTGAGCCATGATGTAATTCACCATTTTTGTGACATCTAATTTTTTTGTTGCTGTCCCTGGCACAAAGAGCCAGGTGTATAATACACATAATACAATGAAATTGAATGACTGGATGTTTTGCTTCTTTAACAAAGAACTGAATGAAACCAGATGTTGCCCCAACCATGCAAGGTGTTCTGTCACTAGTAATTGAAACACTTTTTCTGGTCTTATTTCTTGTGCCAAAAAAGCCTTCATCACAGCATTGTGGATATCTGTTACTTGTGTTCTTCTAGGCAAGGACAACAGTTTCAACAGCTCTTCTCTCACGATGTCATTAACAGCATAACGCAAAATTACTGCCTGCCTTGCATGATTATTTATATCTGTCTCTCATCCAAGCACATGAAGTAACAGGCTGCCTTTTGTAAGTCAGTGGGGAGCTGCTGACTAACATCACTTCCCATGCGCAGGACTCTATCTTTAACAGTATTTCTACTAATGGGCATCTGAGATGGGGACTTACCTGGCATCCCTGGGAGACCTTTGCTGCCGATCCGGCCCTCTTGGGCCATGTGATAGCGTTCAAATTAGTTTTTTGCATTTTTCACACACAAACAAATATTAACGCTACCTTTGGCCAATGTTTGTGACTAAGCGGCTACTAAAAAAGACTGGACATATCCCATTTGCAATACCTTGGGTTGTCTACTATGGCAAATTGTATGCCATCATGGGGGTAATTCTCATTCCTGGGTTACCACACGGTCTCAAAGGCAACGTAACCAATCTGGCGAATTTAAATGTGGAAAAACTGAAAAATGTAACATGCTATATTTGACCCTGTAACTTCCCAAAACACAATTAAACCTGTACATAGGGGGTACTGTTTTACACAGGAGACATTGCTGAATACAAATATGTATATTTTATTGCAGTAAAAGCAAACAGTATTATGACATTCACAGTTAGAATGTCACGTAGAACTAAAAAAAAAAATAACATTTAATTTCTCAATTTTTAAAATATTTTACTTATATTAAGTTAGGTTTCGTAGCTAAATATTTGATGTTAAATGAAAGCCCTATTTCTCCTGAATAAAATTATATATAATAAGTGTGGGTGCACTTAGTATGAAAGAGGTGAATTGCGGTTGAACAGACATATAGTCAAATTCCAAGTTTTGTTTACATTTTATTTTGATCAAAACGTGTACATTTGGCTCAGTCCTTAAGGGGTTAAGAAACTCTTTCTTTTCAGATTCTCCAAGTTCAGCAACACTTTTGTGGTTGGTGTCAAAGTGACGTCTAATACTTGATGTGCATGACACAACACTTTCACTGCACAGAATACATAACACTTTTCCATTGCGTTCAATCACTCCAAATGATTCTGTCCAAGCCTCTTGGAATGATCTTCCACTATCTGTTTTAAGTTTTGCTGTACTCTTTTTTTTTTTTTGTGTTTGTGACATGAGGTCTATAAAAGCACAACATTTATTAAAAAAGACTGTAAAGGTACATATCGGTCACCAGCACAAAGAAACAGTACATATCACTTATTACCACACTACGAATGTCAAGGGTGGAAAGGGTACTTGTCGTTATTACCATCTGCAATGTTTGACAGTCATAGCAGGCTGGTGAGTAACATGTACTCTCGCAGTGTGGTAATAAGTGATATGTCTCTGTGTTTTACAGAGTTAGATGCAGAGGGAGGGCACCGGAAGCTTCATTTTGGCAGCTGGTACAGGTTAGGATTTTTTTTTTTCTGGTCTGTTTCTTATGTGGCGATTGTCACGAAGGTTGCAAAAATTGGCATGTGACAGTGGCTCTTTAATGACAGCAGACAGAGATAGCTTGTATTAAGGCCTTTTTAATCATTCTTTTTTTTTTTTAAATAAAAATGTTTAATCTGGGTTGGATACATACCAGATTCAACCTCTGCAAAAATGTTTTCCAAGTCTTCTAAGGCTATTTAAATTAAATGCTGCAAAAAATTAATCAAATAATCTAAACAATCAGCCAATTGATTATAAAAATAATTATTAGTTGCAGCACTGTATCCCTGTACAACTTTCATTGGCACACTCTGCTAAAATAGGCAGTCCAGAATCTACAGAAAATAGTAAAAAAAAAACTTGGTTGCGTAGTGGTCAGCCCCCATCAGAATAAAAACATTAGTGACACAGCTGTCAGCTTTCATCCAAATAACATTGTTGGCACAGCGGTCAGCCCCCATCAGAATCCCTGAATAAAAAAGATAATTGGTTTCAAGGGGGGTTGATCTACTAAGCGTAGCTTGAAACAGGTATGAAAGTTACCATACAAAAAAAAACTTCATAAGCAGAAAAAACATAAAAACACAATAAATGCTAAAAGCAATTAAGTGTGAAATACCTGGAGCTAAAATTGGAATAAAATAACAAGGGGGATGACTAAAGCGTGTAAAATAATCTAGGAGAGAGAATCATATAGTACAATAGATAAATATATTAGACGTCATTTCCGATCTCCCGGCAGCATCAGCGGAGGGCGCAGTGCCGGACAGCATGTAAGTCAGCGCTCCCTCGCAGCCCTCCATCCCACCCACCCACCCAACGTTATGGGCCCCCGGGCAAAGCAGTGCACTTGGCCCTGCCTACACACTACTCACATAGATAAAATTAAGCTTATATTTATTATCTACAACAAATGCAATACATACATGTAGCGGATGGCACTGGGCTGTCCTGAAAATTGCATGTGTGTAACTGTATTCGTGTAAATTGCTGGTTTATGTGTGTCTAAATAACGTGTATTCGTCTGATTGCTCGGTAGAATTGTAAGAAATTGATATTCCAAACTGCAATATTGTAAATAGCTTTCTGTGTATGTGACTGGTTTTACAAGTTGGGGGTCATTTACTTGATAACAGTGTGATAAGGATCAAAGCTTTCAGTTGCATTTTACAACACCCAGCTAAAACAAAAGCTTAAATCCCTCCAGTATTCCTTGCATGTTATCAGGAGATCAGAGTAATAAACATCTAGGTGTAACCATGGAGGTGTGTGTTTTCCCAAGCAGTCTAACCCACCCAGAAACCAACCCTAACTGGTCACTTCTTTCAGAACATTACAGTATAGCTGGAGGGAAGAGATCAAAGGGAAATACTTGTGTAAAGACAGAACTCTCTGGAGAAAGAGGGCGGGATAAACCACTTTTGTGAGGGAAAAGGGATTCTGGGACTTGTAGTTTATTACTCCAAGAATGAGTCATTAAAAGAACATCCAAGGAAGGCTGCAAGCAGGGCTATGGTGAACTGAGAGAGGCTGTCCCAGATTACCCAAGATGAAGGCGCAAGGGGAAGACCTGCATTTAAATGTTTAAGTATTGCCCTTTTATTATGTAGCTTTTGATTATGTACCGGATATAATGTATAATGTATATATCCTTTTAAAATCTAACAGTATCCTTAAATGAATATTTACAATACATTTTATTATACACTTGTGTTTATGTCTTATTTGTCACACATTCCCTAAAAGAATATCCTTGTAAGAGGGTCATAATTTCTTACAGAATCATTCGAACAAACTAAGGGAATGAAACTACCGAACAGTCAGACCTCCTCTGTGTGAAGTGTGCCTTCAATTACCCGTTGCAACAATGTTGCGAATGGGTAATTAACAAGCTGTGCAGTAGGCCCTTTGTTCTCGGGGTGGCAGCCATTCGGGAAACGAACACGTGGCGGCGGCCATTTTAAAACTCCAGAACAGCGGTGTTTTGCCGTCGAGCGTCTGGAACCCAAATCGGACACTCGACTAGGCGAACACCGCTGAGATCTCCACAAGCCCGGTCCGTTCGGTTCCAAACTACCGAACGGCCCCTCGTTCGGTAGACAGAAATAACCGAACGAGGGGATTCATGCGAACCCTACCTGATCTCTGTAGCCTTAGCCTTTCATGCAATTTATTCCCTTATACTGTGACCGAACGCAGGGCCCCATCTCATGGAGCCCAATTTGGCTGTTCTCTCCAGCACGGTCAGTCTTTTTATTACCTCCACGAATTTCCTGAACCCCGGGTCCGATCTGGGTGATTTTTGGATATGTTGCTCACCCAGATCAGGGCTACCAGGGGATGTACCATTTAAAGGGGTACCCCTAGGTTTAGGGGTACATCCAGAAACTAGCGGAATTTGTGTCCAGTATAAGGGGATTATGAGTCAGGCTGAGGGGAGGAGATGTGTGGGAGGTTACTATTGCCGGATTGGATACTGTAGTAATTAATGGAAATCCCTCCCTTGCATGGGAGCATGCTTTATAAGGCCACTGTGAAATAAAAGTTTTAGTTCTGCTCCTGATGCTGTGTGTCGTCCAGTTATTGGGATTGCTGTTGGGATATTGCTGGATTATTTTACCTGCTGGAAACCTTGCTTTATGGATTTATAACTACTTGTTCCTGAGCCTCACTGGGATCTTAAGCGGAGATAACTTGTGGAATACTGGATCTCCGCTACAATACATACAATACATACACACAGACCGCTAAAAACACGCACAGTCTGCCGAGTACACATTAACTGCCGAATACACACAGACTGCTAAATACACACACACTGCATTGAGGTTTTGTTTGTGTGTACGGGTGCGGATGCTGTGTGTGTATATGTTTAGAGTTTTAAGGGTGCATTTATAATCCTATACATTATTAAAATCTTTACCCACCTCTTTGGTGAAGTATGGGGACACACAGGCAGACCTGTTGGTCCGGTCTTGGTAAGTTCTATGTAGGTTCTGACTGCAGGCTCTCCTGTTCTCCCATGCGCAGAATGCTGTGTGGAGTGTTAACGTGGCAACGCACGGCAAAGCTCCACACAGCCTGCTGATTCCCAGATCCCTCCTCCTGCCTCCGTATCCTCCTGATATATAAGCAGAGTAGGTGACTGCCGTTTTGGGCAAGCAAGTGCCTACTCTGCATTGCTGCCGGGGGGCCTGAAGCTGCAGACCGGCGCTCCCCTGACCACCTATGGCTGCGTGCCCACAGAGAGGGCTTGGCGTGCCAGCTGTGGCATGCGTGCCATAGGTTCGCCATCACTGGTGTAGACTCTAGAGCAACTCCCTTCTCATTCTAAATTTCTGATCTCCCGAATTTAAACTACTTGAAAACACATTCACTCCCATTAATATTTTTTTTAAATTCCATTTTCTCAATTCAAAAATAAATATGTAAAACAAGAATAACTCTCAAGGAGTAAATGTGATTAAGCGCATCAAAATAGATTAGTGAAAAAAATATAGCAGCTCTCAAAACACCCGTGAGGGAATACCTTCTGTCCCTCACCCTTACAAACAGATAAAAACAATTAAGATATAATCTTGTAATTTTTGAGTGGTGCATTAACATATATTACATGCAATGATTGCCTACCCCAGATACATGGGTATAAAGGTAGTGATGCAATGAAACATGAAAAAGATAAAAATAAAAAAAGAGAACCCTAGTGCAGATGGTATTTTACAAGGTGCAAATAAAAATAGAAGGTAAACTCACAATATTCAGAGCCTGTATTAATGCAGATATGGGCAGTACCCCACCTTCTTCAAATGGATTCCATTCTCAAAGTAAGCAGGAATAAGATAGAGGATTATGGTGCAGTATATCTATATGGATAATGAACAGATATCAATATATACAACTCTCACCTTATATAGAGCTCTGTGTTGCCTTTGCTCTAAGGAGGAAACACTTGGTGTCAAATTATGTGGTGACACTCCACAACCTGGAAGAAGACAGAATAACAGTATTGCTAAATTCCAGTATTTATTATATAAAACATAAATGACTATGTAAAAATAAAAAACACATACAATATGCACGTATCCAGTCTATGTGAGCCAAAACGCGTTTCGTGGATAAAAGCTCCATCAGTTGGCTATATTATCATCCAGGTTCAAGTGTCCTTTTAAATGATCGTGCCCAATCAACTCCCGTGATCACGTGATGTTCTCTGACCAATCAGGTATTGGGTGGGCAGGTCGCCCTTACTTGAGGCAATATTGTGATGTCATCTATTTTGGCCAGAAATTAAATGCATCACAATTTACGACGGTCACTGATGATGTGTACATGCGGCCGGGTCTTCCACAAGCCAATTCCTCCAAATTCACTACATTCTCTCCATAATGAGGTCAGAGAGTCCATATTAGAAGAGGGAAAAAGGAGTAAATGGCATTAAAAGGAAAGAGGCAAAACATCAATACATCTATATTAAAATAATTACTAAGTATATAAAAGAAAAGAAAATGATTTATTATCCTGTAGATATATATTTAAGACCATAATATATGGTTTAATTAATTATAAAAATATAGAATAGAAATTAATATAGCAAACAGAGGGTGGCCAAATTAATAAATAGATTTAATAAAAAATAATGAAATAGTAATATTCAAATTAAAAAGTGGCAGAGCTCAAATCTACATTCAGACCACTGGGTTGCAATGAATTGATGTAAAAAAAAATACATTACATCTATGTCCTACCTAATTTATTGGTCATGTCACCTCTCCAATTATCTGTAATTTTTTGGACACCCATGAATTACGGGCACTTGGAGAGGTTATCGATTAATACTTGGGGGGGTCATCTCTGTCAAATGAGGCCACAACTAGTAGCCCCATACTCTTTGATGAGCTGTGTGCAGCGCTGAACCCTAGTCACACCTCCCTGTATGTGACTTGCACAGCCTTCCTAAACACTTCCCGTAAAGAGTCATCTAATGTTTATTCCTCCTTTATTGCAAGTTCTGTTTAATTTAGATTTTCTTATCCCCTGCTATGTTAGCTTGCTAGACCCTGCAAGAGGGTCTTGTATGTGATTAATGTTTAATTTACAGAGAAAGAGATACAATTGTTAAAGGTATATTACATCTGATTGAAAGTGAAACCAGATTTTTTTTCCCCATACAGGCTGTGTCAAATCAGTCAGGGGATGTGTGGCAAGGGCTGCATAAATAGAAAAAAAGGGATTCAACTCCTAAATGGCAGTGAATTGAGCAGTGAAACTTGAGAAGTATGATCTATACATTAAAACTGCTTCATTAAGCTAAAGTTATTTAGGTGACTATAGTATTCCTTTAAGCAATTGCGCTCATCCACAGTAATTCTCTATGTGCAACTAGCTTGGGGGAGACTGAGTGTGTAAAACAGACTCAGAGGGTCTCCTTGCATGACTTTATGATTGGTGCTGGGCCTTGCCAGTTGCCCAGCACTAATAACAGTGCATTGGCATTGAATCTTCAATATATATATATATATATATATATATATATATATATATATATAAATAAAACCAGGGGGCTGCACTCACCAGAATATGCATAAATGGGGTGCTGCTGGGGCGCCAATTTATACAATACACAAGATCCAGCGCACTCACTTATCCACTAAACAACAACTTCAATGTTGTTTCTGTGATCCTTTAATACTATCTCTGGGAAGTATCCATGAGGCATAGTCAAATGCCAACAGTGGTTATAGTGTCATCAGAAACAATCTTTGCACACACAGTGAGAACATTTTTAAACTGTTAAAAAGTAACAGCAGTGTTTTCTTTAAAGAGAAAAACCTTCCACTTAACCTTGGGAACAAGGCTACCCCAGAACGTTCAATTAACTCTTTCCTGCACATAGTGGAATGCTGAGAGGTTCCCTGCAAATGGGATTCTGATTGGCTACCAACTTTACATGTTTTATGGAAGGTTTTTTTTTTTTTTTATCTGTAACGGTCACTGTATTGAAACTTGATGCATTTGATGGGTTTTCAAATCCTAATTCCAGTTGAATGTATTATAGCCTGCTCAGCTAGAAATCAAATCATTGTTTTAAGTTTAATATGGAAACATTTTTAGGTTTATTCACTAAATTAACTGTAGAAAATTCTCAGTAAATTTTTAAAAGGACTACATAAACTGAACTGTAAAAAGTCTCAAAGTATGCTATGCCTCCAGTTGATCTATTTTGGCCTTAAATTTGAAATTCACTTTGTAGTCACAATGATTTTCACAAAACTGACAGTTTTGCCAGTCAGTTATCTAGAGACGCTGTGGAAGAGATTACTTTAAGAATTGCTCTCTCATAGAATTAGTGTACAGTATGTTTAAATCACATGTCTATATATTGTTGTACTTAGACTTCTAATTTATGTATAGCAAAGTTATTTACATTTTAATATGACATAAAGCGCCTTCATTCCCGTTTTCCTACCAGAACATAAACTGCTAAAACATGTAATATAAAGAAAATGCTTGATCTGAGTTTTTATGCAGTTGAAAAACAAGACATGCATATAAGGATCTGTAGAATATATTACAACACATATTGCCTCTGTTTGCAGATGCATTCGTATAGTGTGTTGCTTTTTTTTGTGAGAAGGTATTTTGTTCCTTACACTTTTTAATAGCACAGAGACAAAACATTTCCACAACCATAGCACAATCTCTGTGCTTGTGTACACTTCTTATCATTACTGCAATGCCTTTGCAAATCGTAGCGCATGCCAGTACGTCTGTAGGACTATCACTGCAGCATGGAGCTGCAACCAAATGTGTTAAATGAGTCAAAGTAAATCTACATAGAAACAGCGGATTATTCACAAAACCAGTCTGTGATAAATCGACAATGGAGAGCTGAAATTTTAGGCAAAAATGTCCATCTAAAAAGGTAGTTGAATTTGAGAATAATTCGAATACTATTTGAAGCTAAAAGTTGCAATTGAAATGAAAACATCTTAACTAGATCTTAACGTTAATACTGAGTGAAGACGTTTTTAGAAATTTAAAAAACTCTTTCTATATAAATAAAACACAGGAAATCACAATGAATTACAACTCTAAACACATCCTGGAATATTCCTAAAAACAAGCATAATCAAAAAACAGCATTTATGCAGTGCATGAATGGAAAACAGCATTTTTAATGCTAGATGAATACAGGTCTCGCATACACTTGGAATTAAAAGTCCTTTATGAGCAATTGTATCAATCAATGTTCAGGTTTTGACAATCAAGTCACTGCGTTTTTGAATGCAACTGTTATTCTCTGTGTATTTAACAGCTTGGTTGAATTGAAGAAATACAGTGAAAAAAATTGCATTTTCCTTAGCTTAACAAGGGATTGATCACCTGGTGGAAAGTTGTTAATGGTCTGGATTCATGTCTGAGGCTAAAGTGTTTTTTGTTTTGCTAATATTTTTTCACCAGTCAAAGTGGACAATTAGATCTTCCACTTTTTTCCTACTTAAATATTCTTTTTTTTTTTTGTGAGCTTGCTCACACCTCCCACTGTGCAATGAAGTCTGCCTCCCTGCATTATTTTTTTCTTCTTCTTGAAAATACCTCCTACTCCTCCTCCGCTGACTCAGAGCTCAAGCATATGTTCCGAACCAGCAAAACTGTCCAATCAGAGGCTTTTCTATTAGAAGATTTTCCTTGGACCATGTGAGGCCCTGGCTAATGTCAGATGGAGATCTGTGTAGGCATTGTAAACGGTCAATAAGGGTTAATATTACATGTAGCACTTCAGGCATAGCAAATAAAGGAGCACCCATTATTCAGTCATGGATTAAAACTCAAAGAGTTTGGAAAAACTTAAGCAACCAATCAAAAAAACAAACAAAAAAAAAACATAAGGAACAATTCAGAATCATAAAATATTTAATAACGTATATTGTAGGGAATATGCTGTGTATAAAATTTGAGATCACAATAGGAAGCAAATTTTCAGACCCCCTCCAAGCTATTACTAACACCATTTGAAATGCTTTGCAGATTGTATTGCCACGGATATTAAACCCTACGGAAGCAAGGAAAAAAAACAGAACAAAAAATGATAAAACGGTTACAAAAGTGGCATGTTTAATAAAGAGAGAAAAACAAATCACACAGCTAGACTGCCCTGCATATCTATAAGAGAAAAGAAAAGCACAAAACAAAATTAAACACAGATCACGTTACACTAATGTAGCAACAACGCATATATATTGTTCACATTAGTTATTAGTAGTCAATTTGCATAAGGTACAAAATATGAAGCAGAGAAGCTCACGGTAATAAACAAGAATATAAAGAAAATTATATAAAAATTGAGGAGAATATATTGGGGCTATTGGAATTGCTCTCTTAAATCTAACACATCTTTCTAAGTGCTGCAATTGCAAGCCCTTAAGCCCTAGAAGAGTCTACTAGACTTTGCCTTGAAATGCACTGTGGACTCCCTAGCACTGGAGCAAACAAGGTTCATGGACCAAACACAACAAAAGGCGCTCTATGAAACTTGACCATTTGCTTTCTTTCAATATCCAAGTGTCTTTGCGCATGTCAAAATAGCTTAACAAAGCCAGTAAGAGTCAAACCTCAGTAATTGGGAAGTATGTTGTGTTGGTTCCATTCCGTCTTCAACTAGGGATAGTAGGTTTAGTACAGATGGGCATGAACTGAAATTGTAGGGGGAAACAAGGATGTGCATCTTTGAATGCAGAGTTCCACGGTGTATCTTGGTCCACTGAAGATAAATTCTTTTTATTTTTTATTTAATTCTCCAAGTTTAAACATTTCACTTGTCCATTCAAAATATTTCACTTGTCCGTTAATTATAAAAAAAGTCAAAAAGCAGAAAAGCTGTGGGAGCACAACAAATCATCGTCCTTTGCTATATCCAGGAAAAAACTGGTCCAGCAGTGTTTGTAGGACCTTGTTTGGAACCATAGTATAAGTCTTTCCAAGGTCAAATCTACAGGCTGGACAGGAAAAGACCTCGGCTCGGAAGGAACGCTGCAAACAGCTCTATTTATATAGAAAGACATAAAATAAATGACAAATTAAAGCAAACTGATCAAATTATTTGCTTTGCACAAAGGCAACATTGACCAATTATGCACCAATTAAAAATATGCAAAAAACACCACAAAAAATAATAATGAGTACAAATTATAGTACATTTACATTGCTAGTGAATAGGATAAATTGGGAAGAAAGGTTGTGTAAACCAGTGTTTCTCTTTAATGAGGTGTATATGGGCCACATACTACTTGACAGTTGGTATTATTTAAACCGCTGTAGGTCCTAGTGAATATAACCTTCTGGACCAATATTCCTTTTTTTTCAGGGGGGGGGGAGGGGAGGGGTGCAGGGTATGTAAATAAGTTAAAGTGTGACTGCCATTTATTATTTTCCTTTTTTACAATGTTCGATAAAAGGGTCAGCATTGACGCATCAAAACCACAACTTTAAGCTGTAGCAGTTTTGTTGCCAAGAATGCCATTGCGATCAAAGCATACTTCTCATTGTACACAAAAGTTACGTTCATTTTTAAAGAGCATCGCATTCCATCTATAACTTGTACTAGAAATGCTAGCAAACAGCTGGATTTTAATCTAAAACTCTTTAAACTGCTAGTTTCTCCACCACCTGTCAATCAAATGAATGAAACGATCATAAGGTTAACTTTATACAAGATTATCAGATCAGGAAAAGAGCATGCAAATGGTCTAGGTCAGTCTAGAAAGGGGTAAATTAATGGTCTATTTGTCTAGTTTTCTTTTCTTTTTCTTTTTTTTTTTTAGAGAAGAGGCTACTTAATTAACAAATGAATGTGTAATATGCAATCCCTGTTGGAAGAGTGGATATTGGTTATGAAGAAACCTTTGTAGGTGGCCATACAAATTAAATTAATGAGTATGTTTATGTCTGCTTTACAAAATTGGACTGTTGGAAAGAAGTTAATCTATGTGTTGTGTTCACCAGACAGTGGGGCTTTAGCTTTGGGTATATATGACCTACAGCTCACTTTTGGCAGGAAACTGATTGTTTTTTTTTTTGTTTTGTTCTTTATATACTTTCAATGAACTCTATGCTGACAAACTGCTGTCAATGAGATTTGTAATAGAGTAAAAAGACAAAAGGATGTAAAGAAAAAAAAGGTGGCAACATTAAAAGTGCCAAACCAACAAGGATTATTTGCAAAGTGTCATGAGTAGAGAGCCAAGGACCAATGGCTAGGTAGGTCCAGGAATTCATGGGGCTAGATTTCACCCTTTAAAGAGAAAAATAGTGGTCTATATCATTATAACAATCTGGTCTTTAAGGATCCTGTCCCTAAATGGAATGAATAATTTAATCAACAGAAAAGATGTAAATGCTTAAAGATCATGGTCCACTAAATTGTGTGAGAGCAAAATATATTATTTTGTCCTTAAAAGGTTAAAGAGCAATTCTGTGCCAAGTTCTAAAAGTGGAACAATCAGCAGATGCATTCCATTTCCTTCACTTTTGGTACTATGAACTAGAATTGCCTTTAAAAAAAATAACCAGCATACACTATGCATAAATCTCCTGATGAATTCTGATTAAAGGATGAAACGCGTTTCGCATTACCTTATTTTCTGTCTTACATGTTGCGGAGGATTGCCTAATTGCTTACCGGAGTTGTGCCTTTTGAAGCCCTGGTGGGTCCTATGGGAACCTTACCTGACATTAAATAGCGGACAGTGTAGTGGGACTGTTGCGCTTATGTTAATTGTGTATTTTTTTTTAAACATTTTGTATATGCCCTCTGATATGCAGTTTTCTTTGTGAGTGGGTTCATCTTATAGGTTTTATTTGCATTACTGTAATAAATGTATTTTGGCATGATCTATTGCTTTTCTTTTACATGTCCTGACCTCATACTGATATTGAGCCCATTTCAGGTATATGTGGTATGTGATTTCATTATATGCTTATTTCACATTTTATATATGGCTATTTTTCCCTGATACATGATGCCCTCTAGTGTATTCTATTTGTCTTTTGGAGGATGTTATTGGGAGCGGTCCTTGGAGTGGCTGCATTTATCAGTGTCAATATACTTTTGTAGAGCCAGACAAAAACAAGCAAATATTAGCATCCAATATATACCACTTACTCTGCACACATTGTGGAGGCAGGCTGTTGTGACTGGTTGGTAAACTAGCTCCTGGCAGCATACACACATGAAGGTTTGCTCCACTTTCTTCAGAAATTTCTAGGGTACAACATAAAAATAAAGAGGTCACTTTATCGCAAAGCTAGCACACCAATGAATACATCCTTAATCAGCATATAACACAGGAGCAACCTTTTCTTGCACACGCACAAAATGCGTGTGATAGAGAGATTGGAATGATAGAGAGATTGAGATCTGGCTGACAACTACTGGTTATTGTTACTATTGTCTATCTTGAAATAGTTTATTTCAGTACTGGTCTTTTCAGTGGAAGAACATTTCTGGAAAGGAAGACTTGTGCTTTAACTTGAGATTCATGGTTAGAATTTGCAAATGTAACCTGAAATAGAGTGGATCTGGATATGAAACAGGGATTGTTCCTCAAAACAAAATATATATTAAGAATAATATTTAATCGATAATATATGTCACCTGTGAATTGTGGTTGTGCCACTGTGTTATGGAGAATGACCACTAGAGGGATCATATACAGACTAGGGAAAGCTTATAAATCATTTTGCTATTTGAGATTATTCAAAAAAGGTACCATTGGCTTCTTAAGTATAGCATTTAGAAGAATTATTCTGATTGGAAATTTGCAAAAACTGAATTACTATAAATTAAG